GCGATGGTCAGCCGAAAAAAACGGAAAAAAACGTAATGAGGCGCTGAGAGTTTCTTACCAGAGACCAGTAGCGAGGCCTGCCACAAAGCCCACGTGGTTCATTGTGACATATTTGCCTCTTTCTTTGGCCGGAGACATTTCACTACCCCCCAGCTAAGTCAGTTTACAAAAAAAAAAAAAAAAAAAAAAAAACGCCCCCAGTCTCAAGAACCTAAGAACCTATTTGTAAAAAAAAAAAAAAGAAAAAACTACTAACCTCTGATAAAGCGGCACAGTCGTACTCACAACGCCGACTCCCAGGCCACAGATCCCTCTTCCCACAACCATGATGCACAGCGCATAGCGGCCCGCTGCGGCGGCCATGACGAGCGCGCCCAGACACAGCACCAGCGTGCCTACCTGCGCCGCGTAGCGACGACCGAGGAGATCCGCCAGCGGGTGCGCGAGGAACACGTACGAGATGAGCGTGCCCACATAGTAGAAGCCCGTGACGAGACCCTTTTGCGCCGGTTCGGGATCGTGAAGCGCGCCGCGCCAGCCGGGATGCACCAGCACCGACGAGAGGATGCCAATGTTGTAGCCCCAGATGGATGACCCGAGCGCTAGCTGGAGGCAGATCATGAAGAGCCGGCGGGTGCCCGCAGGCTGCTTCGGGAGGTTCATTTCTTTTTTTTTTCCCGACGTACTGCAGCTTTGGCCAGTGATGTGACGAGGACTCACTTGGACATTGTCAGCATGAATCTGTCCTAGACTTGTAATGGACATGTCTCCGTCTCCAGCGCCGAACGTCTTGCTGTCGTGCTAGCGTCACGTGTAGTGGATGCAGGAAGCTGGAGCTCTCCATTGTCCCGCATCATCAACAGTGATTGCGGCACAGTTACATGCGTACAGAATTGTGTACATTAAAGTCTCCTTTCGAGTGTTGATTTGGTGGGAGCTATGGCCACGCCCTTCGCTGACGTTACCAACCGAGACAGTGCTAACCGAGACAGCGGTCGCGTTATAATAAAGCTTTCTATATTTTGGCCAGGTTGCCTCCCAGACTCGGTTCTTTTTTACATAATTACAATTCATCCTTGATATGCGCTTCGCTTGCCAATTGCTCATCGCACGCAGCCGGTGTGCCCACCTCCATTTTGTAGACGCACTTCTCAGCCTCAGTGACGCGCCAGAGCTCTTCCTTGTCAGAGCAGCCCAGCCAAACGTCAGTCCTGCGGTTCGGTCCGTTCCAGCAGGCCTGACCGTCTTCATAACGCATGACCATTCTCGTGCCTTTGCCTAAACTCTTGCCGTCAAGGCGCTCCTCATCGTCGGCAACCTCGTGATCGATGCGCTTAAAGTTGCCCATATTGGTGTTACCGTGGCCCTTCTTGGACTTTTGGCTCGTCTTGTCCAGCCAGCACAGCTCGTATGTGTACTCGCCAGCGTCGATTTCAATGCATTGGCCCTTCAAGGAGCGGAAGATCTGGGAAGGGCCATAGTCCTTGGAGAGCTCAGATTTCTCATTCTCTAGCTCCTGCTCCTTTCTTTGCAAATCACGCTCAGCGGTTTCTTTGGCCTCACGCGCCTCTCTGGTAGCCTGCGACTCCGAGGCCGTATTTCCCTTCTCGGCCAACAGGCCGTTGTCAACGAGCCAGTCGCGGATGGCAGCCTTTTGATTCTGAATGAATTCGCGGAGTGAAACTGGGAGATACGCATCCAAGGAGTAAACTAGAATCAATCAGCATAAAAGAATACGCAAAAACAGGCCGCGTTGCTTACGAATGTCAGTATCATCGTCAGACGATTCAAACTCGACCCAATTGATGCCACTGTGTTCGCCATCCTCGGCCAGAACACTCGAGACATCATCTCCTTCAGCGGAGGGCTGCTCGGCTTCACGAGCCGCAAAGTCCTCAAAGAATTTGACGGCGGCCTTGACGCCTTCGTCGTTGAAATTAGGGTTATACTCCTCCTTGAGTTTGCGGAGAACGGTATCCAACTCGTTGACCTTGATACGCAGCTTGTCACGCTCATCAGCGACCTTGGTAAGCGTCTCTCGCAGCTCATTGACGCGGCTCTTGGCTTGGCCGAGCAGGACGCCAAGCTTTCCGCCGCTGCCAGACTTAACGACACGGTTGCGATCCTTCTTCTGGAGCTCCTTGTATTTCGCATCCAGGACATTTTTTTGGGCAGTAATTTTGCGAATCTCATCTTCGAGCTCGGTTATGTGGGTTTCGGTCTGCTTGCGGAGGGCTTCCGAGTCGGATATCATTTTGGATCGCTGTGTTTGGGCGTCGTTCATCTTCTTTTCCTTAATCTCGGCAAGACGGCGGTACTCCTTGCCAATCTCGGCGCAGCGGTTGTCGCACTTGGTTCCTCCGACAGAGGCGTACTCCTCGGAGCCGTCGCAGCACAGATCGTAGTCACAAATGCCGTCATTGACGTAAACAAAGGGCACATATGCGCCAATGTGTCCCTTATTCTCGCACCAGAAACCGGGAAGTGAATGATTGGCTTTGGTGGTGCCCGAGCTACTGCCAGGCAGCGGCTGCTGAGGAGATAGAGGGTCGATGTGAGCGCATGCAGCAGTGCCAGGTTCGTCGGAGCCGTCCGGACAATCGCAGGTGTTATCGTTGACTCGGCTCAGGCTGATCTCGATGTTGGGATTAGCAATGCAGCGAAAGCTGTCCTTTGCTTGATAATGCGAGACAACTATCAATGGCATGTCAGTACAATCAGAGACAATGCATCTTGTTTGCAGCTGGTTGACGTACACTCTGGGCTGACGCCGCGAGGGATGCTGCCAGCAGCGGCGGCAGACAGGAAACCCAGTGTCGTCAAGACAGCGAAATTCCGTGATTTCTGCATTGTGTACGTCACGTCGTCTCCGGTGTGCGAATGAATGGGGCGACAGCCAGAGTCGTGGCGGGAGTAGTTGTCTCGATTCACCTCTAGGCCGTCGGACGGTGAATGGACAAGTGTCAAGGGCTCAGCAGTGAAGTCTGAAGCACGTTTGGCGTGGAGCTGGGGTCAGGCACAGCCGTCACTGTACAGTAGGTACCCACAAAATACTGCGTGCTGGGTAAATAGGAACGTGGCACTGTATGGCGGTAAATATTCGGAGCCTCGCCGATCTGTGAGCGACACCAACGCAGCACCCGCTAACGCAACGCCCCTCTACCCCGCCAAAATTTTACAGGCCGCTGCACCGGAGCATCAACTTCGAGCCAAAAACATTGTGCGACACGGACGATTGAGCAATTCAGCAAATTCAATTACCCGCCTGGCTTGAACCAACCAACATGGTATCTTCATGCGATGCAGGCGCCCTCCAACGTCTCGAAACAGCCGTGATATCCGCCCAAGATCTCTGCCATCAACTTGCAACCTCCCTCGACGACATCTACAAGAACCCCTCTGCCGCCGCACTCGACCAAAACACAAACAACACCGACATCAAACGTCCCCTCGACCTCGCCCGCGACGCCACCACTCTCGTGCGCGCGCACTCCACCAAACTCTCCCTCCTCCTCATCAACGAACCCTTTACCCCTTCTGCCATTGCCGACGTGCTGAAGCAGCTCATCTCGGGCCCCGTGCTGCTCGGCCTCGCCTCGGCGGCGCAGGCCTGCGACCCCGCGCAGTATACCGCCTTCTTTCGAAAAGAGCTGGCCTGGCGCGCGAGGCGCATACTCGTGACCCTGTCCGAGCTTCTGGGCAAGATTCCCACCAAGGACGGTGTCGTCTTGTCGGGAGCGAAAAAGGGTGGCTTCGCCGCCGACAACAAGGGCAGCCTGCCCGCAACAGGCATATTATGGTCTGCCTGTGACGAGATGCTAGTGCTGATCAGTGGTGGGATCAAGAATTACTTTATAACAAAAGTAGATCAATGGAAAGAGACACTAGAAGATATTATGGAGGAGCTCAAGGAATGGGGCGACGAACAGCCCGACGACAACGACGAAGAGGGCGACGACGACGATGACGACGATGATGACAATGATGGCAACGACGATATAAACCAAGAAACCGATACAACCATACTAAACAGCTCAGTGTCTACCCAAGACATGCTCGACCATTTAATGAGCTCCGGCCCACCTATACCGCGCGATGACCCAAGAGGCATCCGGCCGCGGCTTGATTCGACCCTCCGCCGCGTCCGCCTAGTCGTTCTCCTATATCAAGCCATCAGCAAGCGGCGTCTCAAACAGCTGCCGCCCTTGCCCCCGCCTACCGATAGTACTTATACAAACATGCCCCGGCGGCTGGATGAGGCTGTTCGCGTGCTGAGCGCCCTGCCCGAGTCCTTTGGTGACTTGGTCTCCGTCTTTTACGACATGGAGCCCGCTGTCATTGACCGAGCAGCCGACGACTGCTTCTTTGAGGCTTTTGCCGCGGGAGAGCTGCTCAGCGACCCCTGGTATGGCGGCCAAGACGAATTCTCTGAGTGGACTGAAAAGTTCAAGACAGAAATCAAAAGAAGCTAGCACTAGCAAGCAAACAGTATTCTCTTCATGCAAAACATGCGTAAGACACCATGCACGGGTAGTGATTCATGTTACATCAAGTAAATCAACGCTAATCTACAAGCCTTCGTGTGCTAATGCGCTGTATTTCCTGATTTCCCTCTCCGCTTCCGCATGGCAGAGCTATACTCGCTTCACTATCAAAGCACGTGCCGTGTCCTCCCACTGTTTCCTAGTTCCACCGGCTTGTTTCTGCTGCGCTTTAAACAGTTTCTCCTGCTTATTTCGCTTCTGTGGCCAGTGTATCCTCAATCAAAACGGCCGATTGAGCTTGTTTGCGATCTTTGACATGATCCTGACCTTGGTTGGTTGTCGAATTTCCTTCCGTAGAAGAACTGCGCTCAAACTCCAGTCTCTCTGTTGATTCTTCTTCTGATACCTTGGGGGCTATTTTACCGCCAACGCTTGGCGCAAGCTCGTCCTCTTCTTTCACTTGAGACAGTGGGCGTGCTGCGGTCTCTTGCGCAGCATCGCCAGATTCGTTTTGTGCTGCGCATTCGTTCTGTTCTGAAATAGCGGTCCCTTCGTCAATGTTCACTCCCACAAGCTCGGCCAGGCTCCTAAAGTTGAACAAGGGTTCAAAGGCTTCTTCGCCATCGCTTCCCTCTCCCCGAGTCTGCCGGATGCCATCCACGTTGAGGAATCCGGTTCCGGAGAAACTACCCGGCGCGGAATCCACAAGCGAGGATCCTATCGAAGAAGCGTTGCTCATTTGCCGCAGGTGCGAGCCCCCGCTTCGAATGGGGATTGCCAACGATGAGCCTCCCTCTGCCGAGAAATCCGGTGCACCTCGTTCAATCGACTTGCCTTTTCCGCTAGGATCTCCGGCGTGTCCATCACGAGGTTTTTGCTGTGGCACGTCTGCCTGTTCGTCTCCTTTCGATGCCTGCGAGGCACCTTGAACTGTAGCCTCCATCCTCATAAAGCTCGCACCGCTATTGCCTCGTTTCCTTCCTAGGCCAAGTGAAAGACTGCTGCCACTAGCTCCACTAACACTTCCCCCGTACGGGTCTTTTGACGCCTGCTTTGCTGCCTTCTTTTCTTCCTGTTCTCTTTTCTTTGCATCCTTCCGCAGAGCTTTAGCCTCCTTCTTCTTACGATCCTCTTCTGCCGCAAGCGAAAGTCGGACAGCTTCCATGAACATCATATCTTCCAGTTCGTCTATTCTCATGCGTCTACCCCCGTCTGGGCTGATGTTTTGCAACGAGCTGGGTGGCTCAGAAGCCTCTGTCGCCTCTGTAGCCGCAAAGTCATTTCCAGGCGTGCCGGAGTTTGACCCTGAGCCAGTATTGCGACGCCCAAAGCGTCCAGTGCGTAGTATTGACCGTTGGTCAGAGCCACCAACCAGAAATGCAGCCGTGTGGAGAGCAGTAGCGGCTGCTGCTCGGCGGGCCTGATGGGCACGGGCGGCGGCAAGTTTCGTGGACCAATCTGGCCGAATCCGATCTGTGGTGATAACGTTTGGCGCATTGGCGGATAAGCTATGGCCTCTTCTGCGGCCAGACTGTTGTGGTGAATTTGGATTCGCAGTAGAATGCAGTGAGCTTTGAGAAGACATGGGAGACATTGTAGAAGATGACATCAGGTGCATAGGTGATGTCGAATATACCAAGCCACGGCGAAACGGTGGCGGCTCGTAAGTCACGCCGAAATCTGGCTGTTGGCAGTAGGGGCATGCGGACGGCTCCGATATAAGCATCTCGGGTAGATCTTCGGGGGCCAAACCTTGGTTAGGGTCTCGCGCCTGCCCATCAGGATGATGCTCCGGAAGGTGAGGATCGGCACGCTTGATTTGCACGAAGCATTCGCTGCAAATCGCTTGATCGCAGCAACGGGTGCTGTTCAGGTACGGGGGGTATGATAGAAAGCATATTGGGCAATCGGTTGCGTCTTTGTAGAGATAAACCTCAAGTAGTTGGCCGTTGACAAAAGGATCATGGGTTAACATGATCTCTGTGGGCGGCAACTCTGCGGATGAGGCATTCCTCGAATGTCCGGTCAAGGCCATGGCTAGAGCCTTCGCCCTCGGTTTGATGGTGCCCCTAGTGGGAGTCCCGGGTGAAGCTAATCCCGATGCCGTGCCAGAACCGCTATGGTCTGAAGCAGCCGACATACTGCGTTCACCCAACGGGACAGTCAAGTTCTGTAAGTTGAACTGATTCGTACTGCGATTGTGTGGCTGTGCTAGCAACTCTGGTGGTGGTGGTTCATTTGCTGCTGGTATAGGTAGACCTCTGGCGGCGGCAACGAGTTGATGCTCCGCCCAGCTTTCCGACCAATCGTTAAGGCCGCGCCAGAAGGGCGCGAGTCTTCGCTCGATCTGACTCTTTGTGTTAGCTTTCCCACGCAACAGACATGGTATCAGGAAATAAGGCGGGGCGTACTTGGAGTTGCCGCACCACCGGTTTATTGAAATCTTCGGTTCCGACGTATGTGCCCAGAGTCACTAGATAGCCCCCATCGACATGCTCCTCTCGCAAGCTTCGTTCTCGTTCCTTGGCGCGGGCCACGCGTTCCCGCTCAAGCCGTCTAGCCTCTCGTTCCTGCTTGGTCTCTCTGTGCTCGAAAGGTACGTTCTGACGACGATCGCGCTGACTTGATGTGCCGAGCCCGAGAAATGATGCATCAACTCGGCCCGCACGGTGGCGAGAGCGGCCATCGCTTGAGCGGTAGTCCTCATTGTAGTCGCTGGCCCCGGGAGGACGGCTCTCCCTGGTATTACTGTTACCCATGATGCTCTGAATATCAGTGTTTACCTGAAGTATCAGCCGTTGTAATTCGAGATGGTCGTAAGCTTTGGTGCGTTGGTGGGAAGATTGGCGGATTGCCAACTGCTGCCACAAGAGGGCTGAGCTCGTCCAGGGTGTTATTGACAGACTAAGAAGTCAAAGGATCGCACTATAGGTTCAGAAACCTCTTCTGGTATTATATTGTCGTGATATTTGACTCTGCATGTGAATGAGTAATTGCGTCGTGAGGTTTGATGCCGAGGATGGACCTGTCACACCTACCGAGACGTCGGCGCCAACGAAATGTAGGTCACGCTTCGCTGAGACGGCACAAGGGCATGTCGAAGTATAGTATGATGGATTTCCAATGTAGCGATACCTCATATAAGCATAGAGATAATGTGAAGGGCGCGCGTAGAGATGCGACCAAGTAACGACGCGAGCCGATTTGGGTAGGGTAGCCAGTGGCGGACGGGGAGACAAATAACAAGATGGGGGCAGTGAGTAGCAGATGAAAGCTGCGTGGCAGGCTTAGAGGTATCTGTGATTTCTCGCTTTTTGCTCGAAGAAAGGCAGGGACGAAGGGAAAACTTGTCGATGGTGAGGCAAAGCTCCAGATGCCGACGATGTTGACGAGTCGAAGCCGGTGGGCTGCCATTTACAGGCAACTTACGTCAACGGGGATGTGGAGCACAGAGCGCTCTCCAGCAGTTAGGTAGCACTTGGCACCTACCTACCCCAGCGGGTGACAAAAGAACAATGGTTGCTCGGTTTCTGGCTCTTCAGCACAATGTACACTATTCACAGGACGAGACACAACGTCAGAGAAATTCATGACTGTTACTTTGGGGAATTTTTGAATTTTGGGTCATTTTAAAAAAGTAAATCAAGCAAGAGCAGGACGGCGGTGATGCTTTTCCAGGTAATTCTGAGCAGCCATGGGTCTGAGAGTTTACCCCACCACGCCCGCCCACCAACTCAGGTGGGCCAAGGTAGCTTGCGTATTCAGCTAGAGGTACCGAGGTACCTGCCCAGTTGCCAGCCACGCTGTGGAACAATTGATCTTGAAGAACTGATTACCGCTTTCCACCAAGTAACTCCAAACAGTGTTATTTGGGGAGCTGCTGGTGGTTCTTCTGGAATAGCTTGAGCACACTGTATCTAGGCACCAGGGTAGGTATTGACATTGCTAGAGAACTCGGCGCCTCGGCAGTGAAGTGCAAGCTATCGATAAGCGCTGGCTTGGGCACTACTCTAAGTCACCACGAGAGTATATTTTCTGTCGAGACAGACGACCTATCTTTAGGAGAAGATTTTGTGATTATTCCCATCGCATCTATCGTTTTAGGGTATATTCGTCGCGTCTTGCCAATATCACTCCAAGTCGCGCGCGTCGCCAGATCCTTGCAGTGTTGCTACATGCCGCTTGCCCGCCTCCGTACCCTACAACCTTCATTTGAACAACGAACCGTACTCGACGGTCAAAACGCACTTGACGGTCGAAAATGCGCCTCGAAGCATCTCTACAGCACCTCTTCAAAATCAGGACAGGCCTGCCTTCTGTAAAATCATTGTCTTATATCTTCAATCAAAAGGCATTCTATTGCTCGCTCAATACCATCTAACTCCGGAACGCCGAGGCATTCATTGTCAATTCATCGCCATTCATAACCAGGTCCCTCCCTTTATACTCGGCGAGGTGCCCAAGCCTGCAACCAATCTCGCATATTGTTTGCGTTTGAGTTTTCAGCCTCTGCCGCGGCGATGCACCATTCAATGTCCCAAACACCCTCCGAGGCAATCTGACCAGCCAACTTTCGGCCAGTCTGGCTCAGCTCGTCGACACAAAAGTGCATGGGACTGTCCAGATTCTGCCATGTTTCTACCAATGGCTTAACCAACGGCAAGGCAGACTGCACCGAGGATCCTTTTGCCTCCAGTCCAAGGGTAGAGCGACCAGTCTTGCACCATTCGTTACTGCACCGGCTCCTGCGGCACCCACTCATCAACTGCGTGAGATAGCGTCTTTCGATGCGTCTGCGAAGGGCTTTTCCGTCTGGATCGTGCATGCTGACGTAGAGTGGTCCGAAGCAAAGGGAGCACAGCCCGATATCAGCACCTTGCTGTCCGTCAGCTCCGGGGCTGTGCCGCACTTGCCCACGACTCCCGACTCCAAACCGTGTTCGCCCACAATTCTCGTTGCGACAGACTGGCGGCTTCTCTTTGCCTACTTTATCCAGCTCATGGTGCTTTAGGTGTGTTTGCATATCCTTTAATTTGATAATTTTGTCGCAGAGATGACACTCAGTCGTTCGCGCACCATCTGCCAGCTCATGCGCCGTCAATCCGGACAGCTTCACCTCGGGAGATGGGTTGAAGGGATCACCTTCTTGTGGAACTTCTAGGTGACAGAATTGACAGAGAATCAGTTTCCCAGGGCAGACCGTACTCCTGTGTTTTGCAAGATCAGGCAGCGAGTTCGTTTCAAACGCGCACGAGGAGCAGAGCCAGCTACTGTGAAAGATCTCGTCGTGCTTTTGCTTGCTGTATGGCGTGTTGCCATAGGCCTCGTCCTGCTTGCAGTGCCAGTGTGCGGCGAATTCGGCGGAATCTTTCTTGAAAACTAACTTGCATTTGGGGCAGACGATGTTGTTGCGCCGGCAGAAGTTCTCATGCAAGACAAGACTTTGCTTCGGAACCAACTGCTGACAGTTTGAACACAGCGCTTCATTGTCTTGCTGCTCTTTAAGATTTCCAGCTTGATCTATAGCGCTGGTCTTGTCGCTTTCCACTAACACTTGAGCACGAAGTGTATACTGAATCGCATCGGGTGCTTTTGTTGCAGTGAAGTCTGAGTAGGCGTGGACCGAAATTTGTATGCTCTCTGCCTTCTTCATCTCCACGTCCGTCGGCGAGATGATGATCGTTTTCGTCATGCTTGGTTTGAAGGAGCCCAAGGTGCTGAATACATGCTCCGTCTTTCGAGGCAGAGAACGCTGAAGGTTTGATTTCGGTGTAACAAAGAGCTCCAAAGCCTCAGGGTCCGACATATTGGACAATGCCAGTTGGACAGACTGGTTTCGATCCCAAGAAGGAAGGCTATAATCGATGTAGCTGCCGACGGCTATTTTGCCGAGTACAGGCTTCCAAATATCGATGGGTCCGCCTTTGGAGCTGCCGTCTTGATTTTCGTGGCGGTTGGTGTTGATGAACTGGCGCAGCGTCTCGCGCGCTTGTTCCTCATCCAGTGCTTCAATGTCAACCTCGAGATCTGTATCCACCACGCAAACCCCCTGGCCTTCCGGCGATAGCTTGTCAACAAGCAGTTGGAAGACCTCTCCTCGAACGCCATGTACCAGTATCTTCGCATTCTTGGTAAGCGACGTAAAGTCCCTTTGAAGCTGTCTTTCAAGCAGAGGCCGCCAGTCGTCGGGGTTGTATCCAGCCTCCAGGGGTCGCAGTCGCGCATAGGTCCCTTTTGGCAATGTCTCGGTGTGTACTTCAAGTCTAATTTCTGAAACCGTCGAGCTTGAGGTCGTGGTAGTCGCCTTTTCATCTGTAGCCAGACCCAGAGCGCTGAGTAGATATGGACTCAGTATAACGGTACCCTCCGGGGCCGAAAACTCGCGAATTCCAGCGTATACTGACTTGTTGCAGGTCGGATTTACAAGGCGAAAAGTCAAGGGATTCGGGAGGTGTGATGATGCAGTCGTATACTTGTCTTGCATGACAGCTTGAGACGCCGACGCACTGAGCAGCTGCTCAAGTGCAGACTGCGGCAATATTATCTTATCGCCATTCAAGCTACTACCATTGCTAGCTTCCAGCGGAAGTAGGGCATAACTGCCGCGCCATGTTAGAGCTGGTGGCTCATCCATCCTAGCACATGCAGCCCTTTATCAATATCGTTGTGTTTTGTCTTTTGCTTTTTTGTCTGTGGGATATGTTGAGCGAGCCTTTGCAGTTCGTGTCACGAAGGCGATGATGAACAAGACATCCTCACCAGAATAGTCTGCCAACAAAAGATTAATGAGGTCTGATTACGAAGTTTCCATCGCCAGGCAGCATCTGCTCTGTCAGCAGATTCTTGTAGCTTCGACCCTTTGCCACAAGCAATCCTGAAAGGTCTCCCCACTGGAATCACGTGCCGTGCTCCTGGGCGTGGAGAACGTCGCACTAACCCAGCCATCATTGGACTTTGTCATCTTGGACCAATGGAAGTCCAAACTATGCTCAAGTTCATCGACTTTCGATCTAGTATGAGAACAGTCTTCTGTGTTGCATACTCTTCAAATGATCATGTATCTCTTGCCCCAAATCAAATCAGTGTATCATTATGAAGCCAGGCTCGGCAGGAGTCAGGACCTGTCTCTACCAGCCACTTATTGCTCTAGAAAAGGCGGGTGACTCGGTTTTATCATCAGCATGAAGCTCAGTGCGCTTTCCAGGATCATGGGCCGGGCCGATAGGGGCTCATTTGATGCTGCTGCTACGTTATTATTAAGGTTTGTTATGAGTCGCGCCCCGGGAATTGTCTCAACCTATCCACTCAGGTCACACAGCTGTTAGTTAACGGTGTGCTCGGTACTCCGTACGGATAGTTTAACTTTGTCTTACAGATTGATGCATAGTCTTGCTCTTAGTACTTGCCCCTGCTGCGGGTCGGAAAAGGTAATGTTAGACGTCGTGGAAGAAAAGGGGGCATCCACGGCATCTTGTAGATCTGTACTAAAGTTCTCCGCCGTGGCTGACATTGATCCATGCGCAAGCCAATTCTGGTTGCCCAAAGAATGCAGCTCACTGTTCATAGTAGACCCCGGAGTATGGCGCCGCTGTCTCCGTATCTATTACGAGATACACACTGTCACTTATTACCCCTTGCCTGATGTTTGATGTCGCAATACTGTAGTAATCAAGGGGCGTAGGTATTAGTCGATGTTTGCCAAACAATATGCACCCTTCACACGTTGCTTAGCAGACTAGCAGCTATGTAGCGACCAGGCAACTGCTTCAGTTACGGACTTTGAAGATGCATGCTTATTACTATTAGCGCTACTGAAATTTGAGACAACCATGAGTGAGTGGCCTTGTCACCAAAGCTTGCGACCAAGCCTTTACCCCCCTTTGATTTATCTATGTCTAGTTATGCCCAGCTGGCTAGCTTGACTTAATCGCCCACCTGCCGCACTGCCGCGCGAAGAGGTCCATTTGCTGCAATGTGATGCAAGGCGCCGCCGTGTGCGAAATCGGAGCCTGAATATGCAGGTTGGGTACCTTTCTCGGTTTATTAGTGTCCTGAGAAAAAAAAAAGCTCCTGCGATCATCACCAAGTCGCTGTGCATGAATCCCGACTCCCGCTAGTCAGATGTGACGGAGAGATAAGCGTAATCCACTGTCTCACTGGAGACATGCCCGCTTCGGCCATGCTTTATGACGGGATGCTTGACCCTGAAGTTTACGGCCTCCCCCCCTGCAAACATGTAATTCGTATCGCCGTGGTGGACGTTGTGACGTGGACGCAGTATTACTGTGCCCGGTAGTCATTTGCAGACCATGTTTAATCAATCCTCGGGAACTGTACTTGGTCTGTACTATCCACACCCTGGTAATGCTCCGTTAATAGGGTCTAAATTAGCCAGCTGATGCATCTATCGGCACACATCTTGCCGATAAGCAGCTCCATCTCGTCGTCTTCGGGCCACATGAATAAGGCAAGCCGCTTGGGTGGTGTGGTGTGGAATTGATCTCTCACGCAGCAGTCCGGTACCGCTTTTTCGCCCTCCCCAGCCAGCTCACCAGGTGTGGGTGGCAAAGTTGCAAGTTTGTACCAGCCTTTTGGAGCTGTGCAGATGCGGTCAGGCAGATGGCATCAATCTGTTTGTACCCTGTTTTTGCCTGTCAATTGTCTGGCAAGGCTCCTTCACAACGCAGGCAAGCACGTTACATCCACTATGGCCATCTCGTCATCTCTGCCCATGTCATGTCACTATCCTACTGATGAGGGTGGGAAAGCGACTGATGGCAGTCTGGGTAGCTGGATCTTCTGGTGTAAAAGTCCAACTTTCACCACCCACCAGTAGTAATAAGTCAGGTTTTGTCCCACCACCTCATCTCACACCTAACCCTTCAACCATTCCAAGGCTAGAACTTCCGAGGCGCTGCTTCTGTTTGGGCTTACGTGTTGTGGTACTCGGCCAGCAAATGTGTGGTGTTTTTTTTCGGTCGAATAAATAGTGCTTGCTCTCCCTGTTTCTCGTTTCGTCTGGGCGGCAATGTGATTTTGAAACTGTCTCACCCCAGAAGCCAGCTAGCAGGGCTCTGCTTTGTCACTTTTGTTCTGTTACAACGCCTTGGCAGCTAGCGCACACCATTGCCAGCCAGTATCGACCTTATGCTTCCTGTGCACTCTAGATCGACAATTGCTCAATACTAAACTGATACATGAAGGCAGGGCCTGGCCTGAGGAGTCAGGACCCCAACTTGTTCTGGAGAAGTCTCATCCGAAGCATCGCCCTCCCACTTTCTTTATTTTAACCTTGATTCCCCTGGAGGCCTGCTCGAGAAACTGTTTCCCCCCCTTTTACTTTCCATCCCCCAAACCTTATTGCAGAAAGCCACCACAACAAAGTCCGGCGCCTCTCGAACATAACTCGATTCCTGTATAAACCACCACAGCCTGACATGGGCGAAGTCATCGTCACCAGCACAGAACGCGAAAGATTTAAGAAATCTGCCACAAACTTTCAGGATATATCCCACAACTCACTCGTGTTATCTCACATTGTTGCCTATTTGCCCCCATCATCAATCACCAGACTCACAGCAACAAACAGAGCTCTCCGAGACACCATCAAACACACGCCGGGGATTTATCGCCACTTGGATCTGCAGACCGTCAGGAAAGCCCATATTGACGGCGGCGAGATTACGACAAGTACGCAGCTTGATGAGAGCTTGACAGAAGACGAGTAAGTAGTTTATCGACAAGACACTGTGCTTCCCAGCCCCCGCGCGACTACACAGTTGGTACTGACGTAAAGACCGGATAGATTACATGCTGCACCGTTGCGAGACTTGTTCTCAATTTTGCAGAGGCGAAATATCCTGCAAGATGTGCAGACACTTGTTCTTGATGGACTCTCGGTGACGGCAGACTTTTGCCATGACATCATCAACGGCCCTGAATTTAAAGTCAGGCTGCTTTCAATCCGCGACGTGAAGAATCTCAATCATGGGAAACTTTGCGGTGCGCTCCAGTACGCTTGCCGCCCGAGCCGGGATGCAAGTCCGCGTCTAAAGGGCATTTATCTATTTGGCCCCAAAGATGATGAGTCTACTACTACTACTACTCAGTCGGCCACAGCCCGTGAAAGTCCGACCGCAGTTGGTCATGATCAGGACCAGAGAAGCTCGAGCGCATTGACGGAGACGTTGCAGCAGCGCAGCAGCGACGATGCCTGGTGGGATGTCAAAGGCCGACAGCTGATGCGTCCGATTCAGAAGGAGTGGGCAAATTGCCTGCTTGCCTGCAGTGGCGTCATTGCATTCGATGCTCTGCTCTGTCAAGGACCACGCCACCACAGCAGCCGGGCTGCAGGGCACCCCAACGTCCTCGCTGAGCTCGGGCCTGCCGTGGCTACTTATTCGCTCTCTGGTTGCCATGGCTGCGGGAAAGCACCCGAGGGCATGATTTCGCCGAGCTCGCATACCGTGACCGATTTACCGTTGCTCGCGCCCCTGCCCGTCTTGTGCTCGTCGCTGCGAGCTGCCACTGCGCCTAGCCTGACAGCTACGGCCTTTGTGCCCCGATGTGCAGAGTGCATCAGAGAGCGCTATTGCCACTGCTGTAACAAGTGGTGGTGCGAGTCATGCTACCAGCTACCCGGCCAGGGGTCTCAGCATGAACCGGCCGTCGTCATCGTGGATGATGCTGATAATATTGGCCAGCTCGAAGATTACATGCTTCTTGAAGAAGCTATCGCAAAACAAAAGGTACCAGTTTCACATGCGGCACAGCCCTGAAGAGAGCATCTGCAGCAGACGCATCGAACATGGCATGACGTGGTGGGTCTTGCTCGCTGAGCTCGATTGAGCCGAGCGAGCATGCTGTGGCCGTCATCATGCTCGATACTCTGTCTGGATTTAGCTGGCATAATCCTTTGTGTTGACATTGGCTAACATTTGTCCTATAGAGTCGAGTAACTAAAAGCTGCTGGGAATGCGGCAATAGCGTAAGATGCTTGCTCGGCGCGATCCTTTTCTCGCAATTTCCCTCGCAAGAAACTAACACCTAGTAGTGCGAAGACTGTATTGACAAGACGCAGCGAGTCTGCAAAAAGTGCTGCGCCGGCTACTGTACCGTTCACAATGAAGGGTCGTCTGCCGAGTTTGTGAGTGCCCAACCATCCTGAGCAGTCCCTTTGACCATCAGAGCTGACCATTTCAGTGTGACTGTAAGCCATTGTATCGCCCAAAAGCACGTTTGTCAAATTCTTAATCAATCGAATAGGGTGTGTATCGCGCGGTCGCAGACTAGCCAAAACAAAGGCACACGGCGGCAGCTCGCTGCCACTACCAAAGCTGCGAGACATTCGCCACCTAAATCACATCCGTCGAAAGGCTGGATTTTAAAGAGGATTTTGGTTCTCTCATCATATCTCACGAGCGCTGATTCGAAACGCATTTTTTTCTCCTCACAATCTGGGGGAATCTCCATAGCCTTGCCCAAAATAAGGGCCCAAGATTGACCTTGTGTGAATCGATCGATGAAATTGTACAGCCTGAAAGTAACAGGCAGGAGTTTATTTAGCTGAATCTCATCTCATCTATGACCTGAAGAAATGTGGAGACTCAAACTCAGGCGTGGCCACTGACAGCATGACATATGTTGGTAGCTGATCGTTTTGTCCTCTCGGGGAGATGTGATGTATTGGATTTCGCCCGCACACGGCAGCAAGAGGAATTGCGTCTTGGTATCAAAGTCACCGACGTCCTCCGAGGCAACGGTGGCTCATTTCAAGAGCGTTGGCTGGCTCCCAGGGGACGATAGTCACGGCATCGCATTTGCCAGTTGTCGGCGGGTTCCGGTGGCTGACATTCGACTGGGCAGTTTCCGCAAAGGCGAGGTGCAGTAGGCATCGTCGCCTACAATCTCACTGTATCATCATACGTGGGCAAATTTCGGAATCACAAAGTCCCAGGACCTGTCAGAAACTTGCGCGCTAGCCATGCCTGTCCATACTCGTCGTACTGTTGCTTTGTGACTGCGAGCTTTTCAATATCGGCGTGGCAGGCCAGATTGGCCGCTCCGGCCCATGTGCTCAGAACGGGATCGGCCGGCCGTGCCACGCGTACGACGCAGTCATCGGGAACTCGCTGAACGACCTCTTTTTGGAGCCGCTGGACAAAGCCGTCGAAAAGAGCGTTGCCTCCTACCAGCACAATGTTGGCGAGCAACCCAGGCCACAGCCCGACTGGCAGATCGTGTATTGACTGATGAATGAGATCCGCGATGCCAGGCTGTCGCATCCCAATGTCGGATGGGTTGAATAGTATCTCTGGTATTGCAAAACGTTCGTTTCGGAGCGTCAGAACATCTTCGTCGGCTTGGGCCGCGGCAAGCTTTTGTACTTTCGTATGGTTCGCTGGGTCGTAATCTCGCACAGAGCCTCTCAACTTTTTGTGGAAGTCTGGTAGAATGTAATCCTTTGCAATGGCTCCGGATACGTATTCTGGCCGTGTCTGACCTCGCGTCCCTTTCCAGCATCTCTCCAGGTCACGCTTGAAGTCCAGGGAGACGAAGCACGCCAACTCTTTCATCTCGTTGACAATATGAGGATCGCTTCGTACGTCAAAATGACGCAGAGATATCTGTCGAGCCATGTAGTTTGTAAGAAGTTTACCTCCCACGTCGAGTCGGCGCACAGCGGAATGCAGTGGGCGGCCGCGGAAGACTGGTGTCACTGTGGTGTGAGAGTATCCCGAGTCGACGACGAGAAGAATTTCGGCAGGTATATTGGCAGCTGTCGCGGTATCTGTCGGCGTTCGGAAAAGGGATTGCGCGTCGTGGTATGCGTTGAAAGCAGGTCCTAGAGATGTTGTTGAGTCGTCTGCAGCGCAATGGGACGCAGAGGCGTAATTTGTCGCGACATACCAACTCCGCGATAGTAGCTTTCGAAGCCATATTCCTCAAAAACAATTTGATCGCAGTTTGACTGAAGGACAGGCAGCCCATTTGGCGGCTCTGCAAGCACGAGTCGCGTTTCTGACGGGTCGCATTGGAGTGGCGCTCGACTTCCAAAGAATTCGTAGTCCCAAATTTCTGACTGCACCTCCCAGTTGACAATGAAGCCCTTTTCAACGGGTCGTCGGAATTGCATCTCGCCAAAGTCGGTACATCTTTCCAGCTCTGAAGCGACATATATTTTTCGTGTTCGGTCGCGGGCGATGCAATTTGGAATTATTCGAGGTTCGTCAGCCCGTCCGTCGCGGACAAAGCCCGCCTTCAAGGTAGAGGCGCCATTGTCAAGAACGAACGTATTTCTCGGCTTTGGAGGCAATGCCGAGACTTTACCCTTCTTTCCCCCGGCCATATGAATCGAGAGGTGTCTACCGTTGTTGGTGACTGACGCAAAGAAGTTGAATTCTGGAGACTCATACTCTGGGAAGCAACATTACACGATCACGTGGCCAGCAATTGCGAATAGTACAAAATGCATGTAATTCTTCCATCGACAGCGATATATGTAGCATAATTTCTATTTGACGATATTGTATGTACATTTATATTTATCGAGCGAAGCTGTGTGAACGGCTACTCACAGTTTCGCATCGTCAACACCTCGGCCTGCGGAAAGGCCGCTTCGTTTCGCAATATCATCATTTGGGACAACGCCCATGACCTTGCGAGTGTTGATGAAAGACGGCCCGCCGCTTTTCCATGCGAAATCCTTCCATTCTCCCAGGCTTGGCCACATTTGCTTCTCTACTAAGACGTTTGTAGCATCTTGAACCTGCTCATTCGTGACGCTCTGCCACAGCTGCCAGGTCTCCTCCAGTTGGTCAACTGTCGAAACGCCCATGACGCTCGCCCCAATACGCGGGGGAAAACTGCTGTTGGTATCGAACTTGTAATTTTGGGTACCAAACTTGGAGCCCTGGTAGATCCAGTTGCGCAAAGACCAGCGAATCGCCACCTCTTCCAGGTGCCTATTTTCTGTTGCGGCAATGGCAGCAAGACCGTGACACGCCTCTCGCAGCTCCTCCGGTGCTGGATGCCAGGCAGCCATAGGAAGACTGTTGACCCCATTCGAAGTCAACAAGCCCATGCCCAGCATACTGGCATTCAGGATACAGTTGACACCGGACAATGCAAACCGCTCCAGAAGCTCCGGGCGACCAAGCTGAGCGTTTTGTACACAAAAGTGCCCATAGGATAAAACAGCATCAATCGGCTCCGAAGTTTCACGAAATATCATCTCCGCGAGGGAAGCCAGAGTATCCACGGGGTATCCGCTGATGCCAACATACTGGATGACGCCTTGATCACGAAGCCGCCTTAGCTCGGTGACAGCGCCGAGTACCTCGGCAGGAGACACAAATTCTACATCGTGCATATAGACAAGGTCGAGGCGATCTGTTCCAAGTCGTTCAAGACTTCGGAATATGCTGTATCGCACCCAGGCTGGGGAATAGTCAAACTCGTCGCCAGCAAGGCGGCCGGCTTTCGTGATGAGGAAATACGAGTCGCGAGGCGGAGCCGGCTCTATACGGCGCAGCGCATCGCCCAGGAGGACCTCGGACGGCCCGTAGTAAGGTGACGTATCGAAGGCAGTAATATTGTGATCGAGAGCGCGGCGGACAATCTCGACATATGGCATCTGCGTCGGGTCGGGGTGGTATTGGTGGTTGAAAGTGGCGGTCCCCAAGATCAGCGGTGGCAGTACCTCGGACAAGGGCCGGGAAGCTGCGCGCTGAGCTTCCATCTCGCGCGGGTTTCTCTTTGCAAGCAAGAGACCGTCGGTTTAGTGTTATTGAAACATGTCCAACTCGGCGCTCATGTGTAAAGTAAGATGAAGTAAGATGCAAAATGGTTAGGCTGGGGCGATACGTGGTTTTTTCCCTCGGAGGGGTAAATCGGGCAGGCGATGTGACCTAGTACTGCCTACCTAGATATAGTTAAGGTAGTGGAGGCATAGCCGTGCGCTACACCATATTGCCACAACTCAACTATTTGTCTGTCTAACCGTGAGCCTTGACAAGTCTTGCTAATAATAAATAAGCTTTTCTTCCCTCACCCGCAATTTGTATTGGGCACGCAAAACGTAAGCACGATCAAGAGCACAGTCAAAACCGCGCGTATCTCAAGCCTCCATGGAGGCCTTTCGGACCATGTTAGCTTAATGGCGGCTGGCATATTTAATTCATCATATCAAGTCAGGCTCTGATAAAAACGTCAAAAGTGGTATAATTAGGCTATTCAAATCAGTAACACTTCCTCATATGCAACATCCGCCAACTCCTTTACGGGGGTATGTGCTGCTGTACTCATTCATCTTAATGCATAAATAGATTCCACGCCCACCGCCAAACACTTAGACAGCGGAGCCGCGTCGCTCAACATCTTCGATAACATGCTTGTCGAGGTGGCCACCAGTGCTCTGGTTAGCGGCAAAGGTGCTATGGGGCTTCCACTTGGCAGAAGTGCGAGGAGTGGACTCTTCCATCATCTTGTCAACCTGCTCCAAAGACAATCCCTTGGTCTCGGGAACGAGGAAGTATGTGTAGACCAGAGCGCAAGAGCAAAGACCACCCCAAATGAAGAAGACCTTGGACTTGAGGTTGCCCTTGTCAGAACCAACCATGTAAGGGGTGATTACGGCGATGATGGTGTTCCAGAGCCAGTTGGAGGCAGTGGAAAGGCCGACACCGCGGGAACGGATGGGCAGAGGGAAGATTTCACCAATGACCACCCAGGCACCGGGACCCCAAGTGGAAGCAAAGAAGAAGATGAAGATGGAGATGAAAGCAATCTGAGCGTTGACGGCAGACAAGTTGTTGGGAGTGGTGGCCGCAGGATCTTCGGCGGTAGGAGTAGGATGAACACGGTCGAAACCAGCAGTGACACCAACAATGGCGCAGAGAAACTGGCAGACCAGCATACCGGCGGCACCGACGAGAAGAATCGAGCGACGGCCAAAGCGTTCCACAGTCCAGAAAGACAGAGGAGTAGAGAGAACATTGATAATGGTGAAGATCATGGAAGTCAGAAAGACATCCTTGACGGCACCAGTCGACTTGAGGAAAGCGGCCGAGAAATAGAAGATAAAGTTGACGCCGGTCCACTGCTGCATCATCTGAAGTGAAGTACCGAGGATGGTGCGGCGCAAGTTGGACTTGGAAACCCAAAGACTACCCTTGAAGCAGTTGGCCCAGCTACCGAACCAAGTAGTCGAGGGAATCAGGGCACGCTCGTACTCTTCGTTGGCAACAATCTCGGCGACCTCGCTCTGGACGTACTCGGAGCTCTCAGGCTGGCCGCGGAGTCTGGAGATGGAGGCAACAGCCTTCTGAACCATGCCCTTCTTGATGTAGTATCTGGGCGACTCGGGAAGGAACAGGAGGCCACCGCCAAGAATGAAAGCCCAAGGAAACTGGATACCAATGGGAATGCGGTAAGAGCTGGTGTTTTCGATGTGAGAAGTATAATTGACGACGATGGAAGCCAGCATGAGGCCAATGGTGATACAGAACTGGTAGCCAGAGACCAGAGCACCACGAACCTTGCGGGGGCACTATAAGTGTGGTTAGCATCGAGTGTTGCTTCGAGGACGAAGCGAAACTTACAATTTCGGACATGTAAAGAATGACAATGGCGGATTCGAAGCCGACACCGAGTCCGGCGACAAGACGGCCAGCGACGATGGGGCCAAGCGCGTGGGAGGGGCTGGTAATCATCTGCACAGCAACACCAATGGCGTAGATGAGGCAGCCGAGAATAACAGTCCACTTGCGGCCAATCCAGTCGGCCATGTCGCCGGCAATCAGAGCACCAAAAAAGGTACCGCAAGACAGAATCGAGACGATGAGAGAAGAGTTGGGATCGCTGAGCTTCTCAGCAGCAGCGCCCTCGACGGCCTTGTAGAAGATGGGCGAAGCGGTAACACCGTTGATGTAACCGGAATCGTAACCGAAGAAGATGCCACCAAAAGAGGCGAATGCGCAGAGAAGATAGGCCTTCCAGGTGACGGGTGCCTCGATGGCCTCGACATCCTGGGTGGCGCGGAGGCTAACGTCCTCCTGGCGAAACTCGCCAACTTCGACTTTTTCGCTGCCAGTCATTGTGGGCAGTGGGTTTGCTCGTTGGTCGAATGCACAATGGCTGGAGAAAAACGAATAATGGAGGAGGAACAACTCGTGAGACACAGACGACAAAAGTAGTAAGACACACAAAGGAATAAGGAAGGGGTGGGAGGGCAACGACGGGATCTTATACTGGTGAACGACTATCGTGTGGCTCTCCACGACTGACTCTTGGGTGTTTTTTTTTTTTACTTTCTTTCCCCATGGGCGTTGCAGCCTCATAACTTTATGGGGCATGGCTAATTGGGGGGAACTCCCCAAACACACTTCGGCGGTTTGGCGGCCATGGCTGACTCTGGGGGGGCGACAGGGGCTGGGGGAGGCGCCGTTTGGAGATTCTGGACCGATTTTGGTGAAAGCTCACTGGCCACAAAGGGGGGGGTGTGTATAGCGCACTGCTGCTATTAACGGTAGACCGGCTCGGAGGACGAAGCCGGGTAAGGGGGGGTGTGTGCGTGGACAGAAGACGAAATTGGCACAAAGTAATTTATTTAGCGTTGATGTACGGATAGACTGTAGCACGGCCGAGGTCGCGTCTGCGTCTGGGGGGGGGAAAAAGCCTGGGGAATAGAGTTGTACACGAGAACACACTGGTTGTTATTGACTTATTACCCAGAATGTACGGATTATGGTCCAAGGACAATTATTTGTGGCGGCTCCAAGTGGGGGAGAAGAAGCGCAGCATAGTTCCAAGAGGCCTCGCCCCATTGGGGCTGTAGAGAAGGGCCGAAAACCTCAGTGTCATGGAAGCTTGAGAAGCCTCGTCAAGAAGGTCAGAAGGGCGGCCCTCATAAAAAAATAAGAGAAAAATACACATTCCCCAGTGCCCCAGAAGGCCCCCTTTCCCACTATTACCTTTTTTCTCCAAGGCTTGTTCTGGGGCCCCGTAGCATGTCCCCCGGAGCCACTCCGCACTGGGGATATGGGGTGAATGCCTGGAGAAGCGCCGAGAAGGGCCGGATGGTGGTAATTTCTTTCTCCAGTGCCCGCTCGCGTGGCCCAACAATGGGGCAACGATCAAATGGAACCACGGTCTTACAGGGTGGCCTGCGGCATGGACAAATGTGAATAGTCTTTGTCTTTTTGGGCTGAGTTGCCAACACCAATGATAGTTGGTCCCTTTGCGGCTCAAGCTATCTAGCCAGTGTTGACCTTTTCGTTGCTTATAGGAGCACTTGCTTGTTACTTTCTCTCTTACAACTTAGCTGCTTCCGTCGTTTATAGAGCTGGCTCCAAGACTCACTCCCACATGCCGTGACTTGCACAGAGGCAGAGAGGGAGGGCTCCGGCTAGCGGCTGCAGACACGGGTGGTATTTTCCTGACCCGGCCCCATCATGCTCGTCTCGGCTGGGCGCCACTAGTTATGATTTTCGTCAGCCACAAGCGTATAACAAGGCGCCAAGGCCCAATGGCGAGACTTTGTTCTCGTGAGTCGATGATGGCAACAAAAGTCTTGTACTATTCGCTAACTACTGCTACCCGCACATTGCCGCATCCAGTCCTACCATGTATCCGTACCTAGAGACGGGTGACGTTGGGCAGTCCTGCCGCTGACTTGGATGGCACCTTGTTTGCTGTCGCCCCCAGCTCCTGTCATCTACAGATTATGTTTCGGAACAATCATAGATCTGGGCGTCATTTTTCACGGCACCGTCTCTGTTTTGAGCCGCTTGGTCCCGGTTGTCGTTCGGCAACCGACAGAATTGCTCCCAATATTTCTCACAGCAAACGACCATGATGCTGGGCTGTGGGCAAACACGGCAAGTTGTACGGATAACTTGGAGGAGGAGGAGGAGGGGCGTGTAATAAATTCTAGTTTATCGCCCTAGTCACTGGTATTATTTATTACTTGGACCGCCGACTCAAGCACGTCAAGGTAAATAAATAGCCCACCAGCGTGTTGGCAGCCTGGCTCCACGGCGTGAGTTTCCCCATGGGACCATTTTCGGTCGCATTTTCAACTGGCCGCATAGAAAGATGGCTGAGAGGCGCTTTAATTGACCGAGTGATATAGTGCATGTTGGCTTCACTGCGCGCTAATACATCTAAACCCAATCCGTCAGCCTCTAGAGCCTAGTTATCCTCTTTCCTACCTTTTTTCCCCCTTCTTCTTTTTTGTCCTGGCACGGGACCCATCACTGACTCGCCAGCGTCGCCCAGCAGCGCTTGTTGGCATTCCTCGGTTTAACTAATTTTGGCATGCTTCTTTCTGTTCCGGGGGGCTCTCAGTGTAGCGTTACCTCTGTGACACTGGCAAGCCTCGTATTTCTACACTGTAATACAGCAGCAGCAGCAGCAGCAACTCTTTCACAAAGCCAGTTTTTACTACCAATTAAATCCGAAGTATAGTTGGCAATAAGTCATACCATGTGTGGTTGGGTCCGCCAGGCTGGATCCAGCACGGTCGCGTGGCAGGAAAGAAATTTCCCCTCCCGTTTCATGCTTTTTTCTGTTTCTCCATGATACTCGGTGGGGATACGACGCTGTATCTCTAATAATCCTAGGAGAACACCCGCAAGCCCACCAACGCTGCAGCTCTATCCGTGCTGAAAGAGCTGTGGATATCGACGCGGTGATGCAGCGCGCTTGCACGTGTTACCTCTGCAACTCATCGCTCAAGTGTTCATGTAATCATCAACGTCCAGCATCTTCCTGTCCAGAGCAAAGGTAGATTTTGCAGTTAATTCTTCGCCACGTCATCTATTTATCGATGCAGCCCTGCATTGCTCTCGTTCTCCCCCCTGGTGCCTGGCCAATCTTTGCCACGTATGTCTCGCAATAAAACGAGAATCACATCTGTTTCGGTAACCGGCAGCATATTTACAATCTCATTCACTTGAGCAGCATAGGGAAATGCATCTTGAGAAAATGCAAATGCAGCATAGGAAAATCATGGCAACTCTAGGCCCCGGACTGGGACAAGAGTATGCTTCCAGCTGACTACCTGGTACTGGTAGCGGCAGCTTCTCAGCATTGGGCAAGGCTAGACCGAGCTAGCCCAGAATTGACCGGCCTCATTGCTACTGAGTACTTGGACACATGACCCTGCTTCGGGTAGGGTAGCTCAAGGGTTCACATTGGCATCAAGCATTTGAACAAGCCTTCTCTCCAGGATCGCCATTTGCTGGTGCGGATAATCACGCGCAACGCCACTACAGCCTCGATCGCCTGCCATTTCGTAGCTGAACGAGAAACCCTCCTCTGACCTGTTCAACGCATTAATTGACGCGTCCACGGCCGTTGTTCCTTTGAAACCGTCGTTGCAACCTAGGCAAGATTTTCCTACCCTGGACAGTAACCGCTGGTGATGCGGCTGCGTCTCTGTGCAACAGACCTGTTGAGCTTTGCAGGCTTTGCAGCTCCTCATCCGTTGTCGGGCTGAATAATTTGCTCAGGTGGTGATATCTTGGCGCCTAGACCATTGTATGTTTGGTCACACAACACACAACAGCCTGCTGCTTATCAACGCCACATCCCCCTCAGCCCAGCCCATCAAAGTCCTCTGTTGTTGATGACAACAATGAGTCGAAACTTGTTCGAGGAAGCCGTCCAAGTCGTATCCGATTGATCATGTTATGCAAGTAAAGTGACAAAAATTGCGATTAAGCCGACTTAATTATTCGTTCACATGTTGAGCCTACCTGACTCTGAGGCAATGCAACCAACTGTCGGTGGGTGCAAACGCTCCCGGTAACTGAGTGGGCCAGCAGCCAGTGACAAGATCGAGCCTCACAGCCCGCTTAAACGCCACGAACGTAGAAAAGGTCATGCCCTGTCAGCCAGCCTTTTCGCGCGCCCTGAAATGACTTTCCCACGTACATCTTCCTGTTATTCAAATACTGGGTAAAGCCCTCAGTAACCAAGCCTCGACGCATGCTCGGCTTGCCTTCCCAAGCGACCGGCTCACAGCGTCAGAATAACATCCATCGACCATGGACGGAAACCGTGCGCCTCCGCAAGGCGGCGTGATTGAGGGGGCCAATCCTTCCAAGTACAATCCAGCAGATCCAATCATCCTTTTCATCATTCAAGTATGTGATTGCCATCGACAACGGTTCAGGTTATTACCTCAGTTCTGACGACGTGTTGTATCCAGGCCAGTTTAATCATCATCGTTTGTCATGCCTTGCACTGGCCCTTGGCCAAGATTCGACAGCCGCGCGTCATTGCCGAAGTCGTTGGCGGCATCATTCTTGGGCCGTCGGTCATGGGGCGTGTACCGGGATTCCAGCAATCAATATTTCCCAAAGAATCTATTCCGAATCTTTCCTTGGTCGCTAATCTCGGCCTGATTCTATACCTTTTCCTCATCGGCATGGAGACTGATGTCGGCTTTCTTGTGACAAATTGGCGCGTCGCAACTTCGGTAGCGTTTGCGGGCCTTGCTCTGCCCTTTGCAGTTGGCTGTGGTCTAGCCTGGGGAGTTTATCATGCATTTCGCGATGACTCTGGGCTTGCTCCCATCAGCTTCAGCACCTACATGCTCTTCATTGGAATTGCTATTGCCATCACAGCTTTCCCCGTTCTGTGTCGAATCCTCTCCGAACTCAAACTTCTGGATACCTCAGTTGGTGTAATCACTTTGTCCGCAGGCGTTGCCAACGATGTCGTTGGCTGGGTGCTGCTTGCGTTGTGTGTCACACTAGTCAATGCCGGCAAGGGCCTGACTGCGCTTTGGATCCTTCTATCCTGCCTTGGCTTTCTTCTCCTCCTCGTCTATATTATCAGACCTGCTCTCGTTTGGCTTCTTCGCCGAACAGATAGCCTGCAGAGTGGCCCATCTCAGGGTATTGTGTCCTTGATTATGCTGTTAGCACTGGCGGCCTCCTTCTTTACTGGCATCATTGGCGTGCACCCGATTTTTGGTGCATTCATGGTTGGCCTGATAGTTCCACGGGAAGGTCGATTCAACATCAAGGTCACCGAAAAAATGGAAGACCTCATCGGCGCTCTACTACTGCCGCTCTATTTTACGCTTTCCGGTCTCAAAACAAATCTTGGACTACTGAACAGCGGTCTAGCCTGGGGATATGTCTTTGCGACAACCATTGTCGCCTTCCTGACAAAGATTATCGGTGCTTCCTTTGCTGCGCGATTGAATGGCCTCGTGTGGCGCGAGTCGCTGACCATTGGTGTTTTGATGAGTTGCAAGGGTCTCGTCGAGTTGATCGTACTGGTAGGCTACTTACTGAGTGTTTAAAGCTTTCGGTATTCACCCGCTAATTTATTACAGAACATTGGTCTCCAAGCCAATATTCTCAGCACTCGAACCTTTACCATCTTTGTTGTCATGGCGCTTTTGACAACCTTTGCCACAACGCCGCTTGTGTCGTGGCTATATCCGCCTTGGTACCAGAAGAAGATGGAGCTCTGGCGACGTGGTGAAATAGACTGGGATACTGGGGCTCTTATTCACCCCCCAAGCGATGGCGCACACTCAAGTGCTACGCGAGAGAATACCGTGACTCGCGTCCTCGTATATCTGCGTCTGGACACTATGCCGAGGCTTCTGAAGCTTGTGTCGCTCTTTGGAGATTCTGACAAATTGTTGAATCAAGAGACAGAGTCAGATAACGCTTGTCGAGGGCCAGTCCGTGCCCATGGGCTCAGGCTACTCCAGCTGACTGATCGTGACTCGTCTGTCATGACTGTTTCTCAGGTGGATAGCTACAGTCGTAACGATCCTGTTGTGAATATCTTTCAAACTGCGACACAGTCGAATTACTTGGCTGTATCTGGAGAAGTTGCCATCATGCCCGAGCACCGATTCTCACAAGCACTCCTCCTGAAGGCGACGGCCATGTCCGCTAGCCTACTTCTTGTTCCCTGGAGCGAGACGGGAAATATCGGAGACTCGCAGATCCTTTCATCTTCTGCACAGGCTGACAAATTAGCTTCGCCATACACTGCTTTCGCGTCGTCCATACTGGACAATAATGAGCATAACATTGCTGTGTTTTTCACTAGAAGTGATCACACCAGCTCCAAAGACGGTGTAACTGAAGAACAGGGCAAGCTTATCCGCCAATATTCCTTTGCCAAAACGACAAGTGACTTCCCAGTTGCTGCGGTGTCTCGCCAGCCATACCACATATTCATGATCTACATTGGAGGTGCCGATGATGATTTTGCTCTTCGTCTCGTCTTGCAGCTCTGTCAGGGATCGCAGGCGACTGCTACTATTTTGAAGGCCAAGGAAGCAGATGCGCAAAACTCCAACTCATCCAAAACAGGCGCAGCCAGCTTTCTAGACGAGATGAGCGAGGAATTGTCCACCAGGGTTCAGATTGAGCAGGTGCAGGGCCCCTGCACCGTGGAAGATTTCATCCACCACGCATCTACTAATGCCGACATCGCGCCACACGGAAACAAGTCTAGCCTTATTGTTGTCGGACGACATGCCAAAGACAAATTGGACGAAGGAAAGTTGAAGCACGCCCCGGCGAGTGAGACTGTACATTGCTTGGGAGTTCTTGCCTCGCAGATTGTTGAGGAGTTTGCCGAAGCAGATGTGTTGATCGTTCAGGCAGTGCAAGCTGCAGATGATACGGCGCCTTTATGAAGACGGTCATTTCAGGATATTTAAGCCACAGCGTATTGTTTCACCCAATATATATATGTATCACCATATTGAGTTCAGACGACAGAGAGCACTGGCAAAGTGATAGTCAACCTGCCAGACTCTCCCGCAGCACCTGAGGAAGAATCGCGAATACGTGCAGCTAGGCTAATTAGCCTACTCCATGACCAAATGACTGATCTACAGAGATCATAGTTACAACTTTTGCTGGACATTTCCGCTTAGAAAAGGCTGACGAGCATAGCGGGGTTCATTGTAATCCACCTGGATATTTGTGCCGCTTTCTTGGTCTGATGACGGAGCCAATTGCCGGCGGCCAAAGGCGGACAAAAATGGAGTATTAGGTTGTTCCCTTTTTATGTAATCATATAATTGGTTAGATAAGTTTCAAGGGTCCCGGCATCGCTTGCGATGTATAAAAGCGATCGCGATCGAGATGCGGCATTTTTATCTTCACTCTCCTACATCTCCCTACAGCGCCCTTGCTAAACAAACCTCGTCAACATAACAACAAAAGCCTCTGGTACGGACCATGTGATCCGCGCAGGAATAAATTCTCTCGCTATGGAGCTATCCCAAGATCGAGGTAACGTATACTGGAATGCAACCGGGTGTTCAATGGGTTCGCCTCGTGCTGCAGCCGTGTCGCTTGTCTTAGCTGCTGTGCGGGTTGACCTATTGATCTGAGAAATACCGGCGAACTTGATCTGGATAATACCAGCGAAAGGACCTGCATCTGATATTCTCCCCTTGCATGCGCTGCAAAATACTGACTACCGCAGCGTTTTGCTCGACATCTCACAATGTCTACTGATAAGATCACGTTCTTAACCAACTGGTCAGCAGAAACAGATCCTAGCTGGGGCATCCCTACGTTCTAACAATACGGCAGGCATGCCACGCCCTACCACGCCCCCCTCTATCTGGCACAGAGTAAGGGTTTCTTTGCTGCCGAAGGCATCAAGGTCGCCCTTTTAGAGCCCAACGACCCCAGCGTGAGATTGCCACGGCCAACTCCTAATTGGTAGTAGCATATTAATTTTCCTAGGATGTCACTGAAATCATTGGCTCTGGCAGTGTGAACATGGGCTTCAAGGCCATGATTCATACCCTCGCTGTTCGTGACCCAACCTAATACATTTCTGCCGAGAACGTGATCTGATCCGAGATGCAGGCCAAGGCTCGCAACTTTCCCGTCACCTCAATCGGCAGCCTCCTCGATGAGCCCTTCACTGGTGTCGTCTATCTGAAGGACTCTGGCATCACCACCGACTTCCGCTCTCTCAAGGGCAAGCGTATCGGCTACGTTGGCGAATTCGGCAAGATCCAGATCGACGAACTCACCTCGCACTATGGCCTCACCCCCGATGACTACACTGCCGTCCGCTGCGGCATGAATGTGTCCAAAGCCATCAAGAATGGCGAAATCGACGCCGGCATCGGCCTGGAAAATGTCCAAATGGTCGAGCTCGAGGAGTGGCTCGATAGCCAAGGCCGTCCTAAATCCGACGTGCAGATGCTCCGCATCGACGAGCTCGCCGAGCTCGGCTGCTGCTGCTTCTGTTCCATTCTGTACATTGCCAACGACGAGTTTCTGGCCGCGAACCCTGACAAGGTGCGCGCGTTCCTTCGCGCCGTCAAGCGCGCCACCGACTTTGTCCTGGCCGAACCGGAAAGTGCCTGGGCCGAGTATGTCGATTTCAAACCCGTCATGGGCACACAGCTCAACCGCAAAATCTTTGAGCGCAGCTACGCCTACTTCTCGCGCGACCTGCAGAATGTCAAGCGTGACTGGAACAAGGTCACCAAGTACGGCCAGCGCCTCGGTGTCCTGGCCGCCGACTTTGTCCCCAACTACACAAACGAGCATCTCGAATGGGTTCTGGACGAGGCATCGAACGACCCCCTCGGAGATCAGAAGCGCATGGCCGAGCTTCAGTGCGATGTGGCCTGTCGCGGTGGCTTCCGCCGTCTCCCGCGCGCTGCCGCTGCTTAGAGGCCATGTCTACTTGTACGTACGCGATGTCTCTTGACTAGATGATTTAATGATTCAACACGTTATTTCTGCGCGTGCGCATCGGCGAGAGCTTCAACCAAATAGTCCGAGGTATTCATAGCTAGGAACAGAGACTTTTCTGCGCCATATATTGAAAATCAGTTGAAAACTAAAAGTGAAGAGGCCGAACCTGTAGTATTGTGGTAGCCCTTAGTTATGACGAGCCTGCCATAGGTTATTAAGCTGCTTGCGACCTGTTCATGCAATGGAATGGAATCTTCGACTACGGAAACATGAAGGCGTCCTCTTGAAACGATGGAGAATTCGCACAAAATGGTGGGTAATTTCGCGCTTCAATTGGCCAGGAAAAATAGCTAGTCGTGGTGATTCTTGAATGCATGTCATGAATTCTTATGGCAAAGGGAAAAAAATGTCTTCAAGAGAGCTTCCGAGCGTAGTAGAAAATAAAGCAGAGAGCGTTGATTACGCGCGACTTGACGACTACCCCCCATTTAGTACACGTCATGAATATCTCATCAGAGCTGGAATCATGATGTGGCAATAGTAGTCAGCCCTACTCCCCTGCTGGATGGCGTTACATTGCCTATTTATTCATATTTGACACTTCTACCTGGCTCTGTGCCCCCAAAACACGTATCCTACATTTAGTTACAATGGCAAGCCAGCAAGTCACTAACGACGGGCTAGGAGAACCCCTAACTCTCCAGCAGACCCTCCTCACCAAAGGAGCAGCACTTACTCAGGTCAGGCCACCGATGATTTTGATTGAATCTCTAGTTTTGACGCATAGTGCAGGATTTCAAGCCCTTGAAAAACATATGCGCGCATCTGAATGCCTTTCACGCGTACGCCGACGACCCGCAACGCGCAGTAGAGACGAATCATTACTGCGGCCACGTGAGTACGTACGACGGAATGCTTGTTCTAGAAAACATGCGAAAATTATAATTAACGATGCAAAAAAGACAAAGATGTGCGCCAATGCCTTCTTTATGACTCGGCCGAGCCCGATGCACGACTTATTGGCGTTGAATACATGATCGCGCCCGAGCTATTCGATACGCTATCTTCCGAAGAACAAAAGCTCTGGCATTCGCATGTCTACGAAGTCAAATCCGGAATGCTCGTCATGCCAAATCCTGTTGTTCCTGACGCACTTTGGGCTCAAGCGGAGCACAAAGAGATGGAGAACGTGGTCCGGCTGTACGGCAAGGTTTACCATCTATGGCAGACAGACAAGGGCCACAAACTGCCGCTGGGTGAGCCAAAGCTTATGACGAGCTTTACAGCCGATGGGCAGTTGGATTTTGGCAGAGTTGAAGAGAGGGACAAGAAATTCAACGTCGACTATAAAACGAAAAAAGGGCAGAGAGAGGACATTCCAGTGCCTCAGATCCACCCAAGTGAGATTGGGACTATACCCCGGAGTTTAGTAGTGACGCTAACTTGACATGCAGATGCGGATAATGCCTGGAAAAAGAATTAGAAAAACAGCTGATTTTAGCATTAATTATCATGCATTGTGAATATTAATATTCAAGTAAAGTTGGTCGTATTTACTACATACGGCTAAATGTCGCCTATTCGCAGGTAGCTGTAGAATCATACAGACGTCATCTGTATGGTATGATGATACGCTCATGATAATGTCACGACTATTGATGTGTGTAGCTTTTACTATACATTCCCAAAAGCATAATACAATTGCCTATGCTTGAACATTCACGTCATCCATGTCCCACGCGCGTCACATTGATGTCGTACATGACATAAGTAGACAAATTCTAAAAAAGGCGTTGTCTCTTTTGTGTTGGGACAAGAATTTTCATGATATAAAGGAATGAGCTCTAGTTTTAGATTTGCAAATTAACCGTCTATTAAAACCTTTTCAACATCAGCAGGGAAATTCACACCATGTTTCAATCAACCCTCCGATACTTGGCTTTCGCCAACCACGCTATTGTATGGGTGTCTTCGCTGATTGTGACTGGAATTTTGTCGTACTTTTTGAACAAGTACTCTGCCGCTCACAACACACACATCATCTACCAAGAGGTCATAGTAAGTCACTTCATTGCTTTTATCTAGTTTTGTACCATTCTCACCTTTTGCAGGCTGTCATCACTCTTGCACTCTGGACGCTTGGAATGATTCTACCCCTGATTAGCAGATATGGTGGTCATCTCTGGCCAATCAACCTCGCGCTTTCCTACCTCTGGCTCACATCGTTCATCTTTTCGGCTCAAGACTGGTCTCGCGGATACTGCCGTAGGTACAGCTACGTCTATGGCTTCAGCAGATGCGGCTTGAAGAAGACTGTCATTGCGTTCAACTTTTTAGCCTTGTGAGTACTTATCGGCCGGCATTTTGTGATGGGTTCATGGCTTAACTTGATGACAATTTTTTTTATAGCTTCTTTCTCTTATGCAATGCTGTTATTGAGAGTCGGCTCTGGCACGAGTGGCGAAATGAAAGGGTCGTCACCCCGACCTCGAATGGCAGAAAGCGACCAGACACGGCTACTTCGGTGCGAGCAGACACACCAGCGCAAGACACTGTTTAATAGCTGGCACCAAATTCAAGATGAAAGCTATACCGAAAAAAAAAGAAGCCCCCCCCGATGATTGTTATAGAAGCCGGCAATGGATGAAAAGCAATTTAAGCGGGGGGATGATACCAGGTGATGCTACTTTGGCGGAGGTGTTGTCGACGGCCGAAACATTCATCTGCTGTCTTGTTTGGACCGTTCAGGTAGGGATGGATGGTATTTTTAAATGTATGATTATAATTTGAGATTGACGAAAAAGAAATTGAAAAACGCAGAATTATAATTGCAAATTTGTCAAGCCAGCGACAGAGCTTGTGGATATGTTTTTAAGTTGGGTTGGTCAGCGCTCTGTAGGCGAGTATGGAGTAATTCATGTGCATCATCAAATCTCAAATGCTCTTGGGATGTTTAGTCTGGCCTCAGATACACGTAAGCCTTTTTTACCCATCTTTTTCGCTGTTCGGCTCGTGGCATGGCTGGAATCATCTTAATCTCGCGGTAGAGTCCTGCTCTCTGAGTCACAGTCACAAGGTGGCGATTAAAGGTCTTGGTAGATATACATGTTAAACTCGAGCTGTGCAGATGGCTGAACCACAACAGCCAGTAGCCGAGCGCTGGTACAGACCTCCATGTTGCTCTGTACTTTTGAAGGGACTTGTATACAATCACCCTGATCACATGCTTAGACATGCTTAGACATGTCTTGATTGATGGTTTTACACGTGCAAGAGGGTCAATATTGTCGTCATCAAGGCTTTTCCACCCCCAACAAATTGGAAACAAATCATGATCCACCTGATTTTCCATGCAATGCTCGGTAATGGACTGACTCGGATGCGGCGCGATGCAAAGAGCCATGCGGGGAAATGCATCCACTGCGGCGATTGGCTACTTTCTGTGCCGTTTGCAAGTCAAAGGCTCCGTGTTTAAGATTAATTATTACGCCTGCGATAACGAACTTACTTGGATAGCTGCTTGGAACGGAGCTAGGCCGCAAGCAAGCCCGTCCGTCCCCCCCTCACACGACCCCGCGCGCTATCGGCTTTGCAGCTTCTCCACCTCGCCGACTTGCCGCGGTGCAGCTTCGGTAGCGAATCAGCTTTTTTAATAAAGAAAGAGGGATCCGGGGTTCCCCAGGTCAGAGAAATATGTTGCCATCCGTTACATTGACCCGCGCGTTATAAATTCCAATAATCGCTTTCTGTACCGCACCGACCAAAATCCAGAAGGCGCGCAATGGCAGCCATCCGACTTATACCACTGAAGCACATGGCGGGCATCAGCCTACTTGGCTGTGTGCTCATCAAGTTGCTTCATCTCTTGGACAACACGGCACAATCCGCCCTCGTTTTTCTTGCCCTGTTTGCCTCTCAAATTACCATTTACTCTGTATATGCAGTTTTTGTGTATCCATTCTTTGTGTCGCCTCTTCGCCACCTGCCTCAGGCCAAAGGCGGACTCCCCTTGCTTGGTCATGGAATCAACATGCGCAAAAAGGGCCTGGGTGTCATGGCGAAAAAATGGTATGTAAACAATCTTGTGCGTGAAAAAAAGTCCACCTCGGGACCAACTGACAACTTCGATTCAGGATCGCAGAAAGCCCCAACGAAGGCCTGATTCGTATCCTGTGGCATTTCAACCAGGAAATGGTCATTGTCAACTCCCCCCAGGCACTCTCGGAGCTTCTCGTCACCAAGTGCTACAGCTTTGAAAAGCCTCTATTCGCGCGCAGTTTTCTTGCTCTGATCATCGGCTGGGGTCTTCTTACTGTCGAAGGCGACGAGCATAAGAAGCAGCGTCGCGACATGCTGCCCGCCTTTTCATTCCGACACGTAAAGGACCTGTATCCTACATTTTGGACAAAATCGTGCGAATCTGTGCGCGAGATTACGGCATCCTGTGATGACAAGGGCTATACCGAGACGGACATTTCTGGATGGACCGCGCGCTGCGCCTTGGACATTATCGGCCTGGCGGGTGTCGGCGTCGACTTTGGCTCCATCAAGAACCCAGAGAACCCGCTGGCGCAAAGCTACGAGCTTCTGCAGCCCGCGGACGGAGACATGGTGCTTCTTGGTCTTCGCGCCTTCTTTCCCGGCTTTATCATGAACAACCTGCCGCTTCAGCGGGTGAGAGATGCTCGAAAAGCGTCCGCCCACATTCGCGGTGTTGCGCATGAGCTGATTCAAGAAAAGAGGCGCTTGCTAGAGAGCAAGCAGGATGCAGGTCTGGACATACTCACCGTTGCAATGGGAGGACGTCTCTTCTCCGAGAATGCGCTCGTTGATCAGATGATGACGTTTCTCTCTGCTGGCCACGAGACCACCGCATCTTCCCTCATCTGGGTGACGTACTTCATGGCCAAGTACCCGCATATGCAGGAGCGTCTGCGTCAGGAGATTCGCGATGCTCTTCCTTCTCCAGACAGCGACACTGAAGTCACGAGTGCCGTGATTGACTCTATGCCGTATCTCAACGCCGTGTGCAGCGAGGTACTACGAGTGCACAGCCCCGTGGCACAGTCGATACGAGTGGCAACCCAAGACACTACCATCCAAGGACAGTTTATCCCCAAGGAAACCCTCTTGGGATTGGTGCCGTGGGCAACAAACACGGACCCCAAGCAATGGGGCGACGATGCGCACGAGTTCAACCCAGAGCGCTGGCTGACCCCGGAGAATGGCGGCAAGAATGCGACCAATGCGGCAAGCGGAGGAGCCACCAGCAACTATGCCTTTATGACCTTTCTTCACGGGCCTCACAGCTGCATCGGTGGCGCATTCGCTAAATCGGAGCTGGCATGTCTGGCCGCGGCCTGGATCGGCCGCTTTAAATTCGAGCTCAAGGACAAGTCTCTTCTTGACGAAAGCAACATCAAGATTAATCCCAGTGTTGTCGCCAAGCCCGACGGCGGAATGGAAATGTGCATACAGGTTGTTGATGGGTGGTAAGCCAATGTGAGAATTGTAAAAAAAAAACAAGGCGTTTGTATTATTAAAATAGGCTTGTAGAATAGGTTGTTGAGCAAATATCTTTGCCTTTTTTGCCGTTTTTTTAAAAACGCCGAGAAGCATTAGTTGATGAAATAACAGATTTAGTCTCATTCAATTGTACATTTATTGGCCATGCATTTCTCGGCTTTTTATCAAGGAGGGTACGGTTTTGAAGACTTTTATCAAGGGACATCTTCTTCTGTCATCTGTCTCTTTTGTATCAACCATTTTGGTTCTGAAGACTTTTTTTTATCAGGGGACATGTTCTTCTGCCATCTGTCTCTTCTATACCAACCACTTCGGTTTTAAAGACTTTCATCAAGGGACATGTTCTTCTGTCATCTGTCTGTACTAAATCACCCATTTCTGCTCGAATTCATGCACTAAACCTTGCCAGACCCAACTGTGCCATCCTCCCTCCTCCGCAATACGTGCCCTCCTCTCGCCCCGGTAAGTTTTCCCGCATCCACCGCAACCACACCATTCACCAGCACGAAATTGATGCCTTTACTGGTCAGTTTCGGTTGCTCAAACGTGGCCATGTCCTGAATCGTTTCCGGATCAAACAAGACTAAATCTGCCGCTGACCCAACACCGACATGCCCACGGAACGGATACACATTGAGGCGCTTGGCTGGGCGCGACGTCAGGTGTGCCATCATCTGCGGAATGGTAAACATGCCCAAATCGCGTGCATAGTGACCTAATGAAAATCATTGTCAGTCAGAAAAACTCTATATACCAAGCAAAAAAGAGTTGCAAAAGTACATGTGTGGGTGAACTAACCCAAGTATCGCGTAAATGTGCCATAGGCACGAGGATGCAGCGTTTCGCCGTGCAGAATGGCATCACTTCCACTCATGTGTTTTTCATGCTTCATAATGGCGCGGACATTTTCTTCGTGGCCGATGTGCAGCAAGCAGCTCGTCGCAAGTCGATCCTTGACAAGAATGTCGAAAAAGACGTCAATGGCAGGCTTGACAAGGGACCGGGCAACTTCCGCCACGCGTCTACCCGCGTACCCATCCAGCGTCTCGTGCTGCGTGCTACCAATCTAGTCATGTCTGCATTAGCCTTTTTTGGGGAAAAAGAAAATCATGATAAAAGGGCCTGTGAATGCGTACTTGGATCTCATCCCAGTTCGTCGGGATGCCATGGCCACCGTCGCATCCAGTGACTTCCACGGCAACTTGAATCTTGTCTCGCACTTTCGCATCGCCCAGCCTCTTGAGGGTTTCATCCGGACCGCCCTCTGACGCCCAGCTGGGAAGCAGCGCGGCCAGCATCGTGCACCCTGGCAAATAGGGATACGTGTCGAGCGTCACGTCAACGCCAGAGCCAAGCGCCCCGTCAATCATCTGCAGTAGCTCGGGCGCTCGACCCTTGTTCTCGGAAAAGTTCATAGTTGCATGTGTCAAGTCTTCAAAGGGGCATGGGGGGGGGGTCAGCAGAAAGGCTTCATGCGGATTTGCAAGGGGCCTGGGGCGCGTTTTGACTCACGGATTGGACAGCGAGTGTTTTTCCCAAGGTCGAGCATCTCCTCGTAGCTCTCCAGAGCTTTGAATCCATAGCTGCGGTGATGCGGCGCATAAAAAGCGCCAGGATATTCGTCGGCGAGAGCCTGGCAAAGGACTGCGAGCTCCGAGTTGGAAGCATACATGCCAGGCGTATAAGTCAGGCCGCTACAAGCAAACATTAGCTAGTCCTGGGAGTCGACAGCAGGCCAATATCAGCAGTACCTGGACATTCCGACCGCCCCTTGACCTATGGCCTCTTTTAAAAGCTTGACCTGATCTTGTATTTCCGCAGGGCTAGCGGGAGTGTCGTTGGGGCCGCAAGCCAGGAGGCGAAGGTTACCCTGCGGTACTAGCATGGCCACATTGGTCGCAGTCTTGTTCTGTTCCAGGCAGTCGAGGTAGTCACCCACAGTCTGCCACTCAAAGATTCCGGTGCCCTGGTGCTTGGTCTGGCATTCCTCGTCGGAGGGATTGCCGTTCCAGCCTGCGATTTGACTCCGAATGGCCCGCAGTTGCTCCTTTGTACGTACAGGGGCATACGAAATTCCATCTTGGCCGACAACTTCGGTCTGCATTCATATTAATCAGCAAGCAAGTCTGATAAAATTCTTTCCAACAAACTCCCAGCGTGATCCCGGCTTCCAAAATCAAAGGGTGACCAGAGGCGCTTTTTCCTTATTTTACTTACTGTGCAGCCTTGTGAGATCTTGGCCTCGTGAGCTGGACTCGTGATGAGATACAAGTCGGAATGCGCATGCATATCAATGAATCCAGGCGACAAGTACTGGCCTTTGCCGTCGATGAGCCGGGCTGTCGCAGATTCTACCGTGCCAGGGTCGCCGATGTGGGCAATCAGACCGTCTTTGACCAGGACATCTGCGACAAAGGGCGTGGCGTCTTCTTCGCCCGTGATGACAGTGACAGATTGAAACAAAATGGGCTCCATTTTCGTAGCAGCTCGATTGTAGTTCATCACAGAGAAGCGTACACTTTCTCCTTGAAGGGTTCAGCTTTAAATACCCTCCCTCCCGTCCGTAGTTCAGGAACTCCCTCTCCTTGGTCCCCCCCGCATAGTTGGGGGTCAGGCGTGGGGTGCGGGGTGTGGCGGGCTAGCAGCACATAGATAGGTACAAAGCCGGATAACTAAACGTTGCTCACGATGTGTGCCGACCTCTGAGGTTAAGACAGTCGAACTAAGTTAAATTGTGTATCAATATTCTTTTAACTGGTAGATTGCTTCTATTTTGTGAGCTCAATTTCAACCTTTGATCTGGATTCGTAGAGCAGTGATACGCTGTAGCTTAGTATTCACATGGCGCGCCTTTAAGTGTCCCCCCCCCGCCACATTTCTGTCCGGATCAAAGGAAGGAGAATGACAAACCTGAGAAGCCCTATTAGCCGTTGTGTTATCTATGTCATACTTGCCCCAGTTCCTGTAGCACCTTGTTTGCTTGAGTTCCGCAGTATTTAAAATGCACCACTTCGAGCTCCGTGCCACTAGCAGCTCCGTGCCGCTCTAAAGTCCGCGCATCTAAGCCAGGCTCAATAGCAGGTGACAATCCGCCTCAAACTGGGGTCCAGCAGGTAAAAGCTCCATCATCTGTCACAAGAGTGGGAATATCCCACTGCCGATAAAAAAGGTATCTTTAGTATTAATACATAACGACCTCAAAAGACGCTGATTGAGCCGTCCACAGTACGCTACCAAAGCTCCTACAAGGCACAAACAAAAGAAAAACACGTAGTCGAGGACAGCGAATAGCCAAGCGCCCAACCCCTTGCGCAACCAAGCGCCGAAAATTAAAGTCAAAACATGCCGGGAACACTTCATCCGGCATGCAGAGCACAACATGCTCAGCATCATGCTCTGCATACTCTCAAGTATAAATATACAACATTTTGTGGCGGAGCCAACAAACGCTTTACCAGAAGCTGCACCATCCAATATAGTGCTGGCAAAGATTCTCCAGCTTCGTCGCTTCGATAATAAGCTTGTTGACCTGATTCACAACGTCAAGCTCCTCCGTTTCCTTGAAGTCGCGACCATTCAGTTTCTGCACGACGCGATCTAGGACCTCAATGGCTCTGGCGTTTTGAGTCTCCGTGTCCTGAGCACCGTTGGCGCCCTCGGTTTCGACGCCGCTATTCGTTCTGGCTCTGGGGCGGGTCATCAGTGCGCCTACGGGGTCACCATTGGCCATGAGCTCAGAAGGCGCAATGTCAGCGTCCAGAATCGACGCCCTTCGCGCCCTTCCGCCACCATTGAGACCAATCAGCGCAGCCTCACGGTCGGAACGGAAGTTCGGACCCGCTGGTGATGCCGTGTTTGTCAATCGCCAGGTTAGTAGAGGATCGTGAATAAACTATTGCCAAGTTAGTATACATCACACGATGAATCGTGTGCCTATAAGATAACTCACAGCCTCTAATACTGCCATCACACTCTCCTTGTTGTCTCTGAGAATTCGCATCACATGTTCGCATGTGATTCTGAAACTTCCCTCGATATTGCTCACTTCCATTGCGTAGGTGAGCATACGTGTCAAGCGGAAAGGTACACGCTCCGGATACTTTTCCCGCTTCATCGCCACCTCGAAACAGTCGCCGAAATCGATGTGGAAGATGTGTCCATTGAGGCGATCGAGCATGAGGTTGGAAGGGTGACGGTCACCCAGCCCGAGAATATACCCGACCATGGACATGACACCCAAAGATCTCGTGTAATTGGTGCGACGTTCAAGCCAGGCCTCGGACGATTTAGACTTCAGCCACAATACACGGTAGAGATCCTGGCCAGTGGTATTATCCAGAGCATAGCCAAAGACTTCCACCTTTTGCATAAGCGTGAGATTGTCGTAATCAGGAGCCATCTGCAGCATGATGCGATGCTCTATATTCAGAAGAATCTTGCGGCTTTCACGGTACTCTCGGATAAGAACGTGAAGAGTATCAGTGTTAGATCTCCACCCAATCAGGCCAGAGCTCTGCGACAACGGAATTGCTGGGAAGCGAAGAATGGTGAGGTGGCGTTTGAAACACTCCGAATCGCTTGCCAATAGGGTGTTGCAGAGGCCAAACAGCTGCATAACACGTTCGTCCTGCCGAATGTCTTCATGGCCCTTGAGAAGGAAGGGATAGGAGTTTCCATCTGTGCCGCTGGCAGTAATCTTACGAGGACGCTGCTTCGAGTTGATGACTGTCAAGGTTGGCTCAAATGACTGGATTCTCACTGGGAGTTGACCGCTGCGATAGGTGCCCGGGATAGCCAGGTCAAGAGACTTGACGTTGAGCAGCTTGGGCGAGCAGTACGTTAGATCGAGGCTGGTGACTTGTGGTAGCTGTCGGGAAATTCGTCGGAAAACTTGGTAGTAGAGATCCCAGGCTTGATTGAGGTCGTTAAGATCCCTGCTAGTCTCATACTGATGGCACCATTCTCGTGCTTCCCTCAGGTCACGACCGAATGCTTGAGCAAACGAGATCTCACGTAGTGTCTCCGGGCCACGCTCTAGCAAGTTGTGGAGTGGCTCAAGCGTCTGGAACATGCCCTCAATGTTCTGGTCACCAAAGTAAAGTCTCGAGGCTTCTTCCAAACCCTCATGCCATTGTTCATGCCATAGGACTGCGACACGAATCAACTCATGGCTGACAAGATCAGCCTGGGCTACCAAATTGGCGCTGTGTTGACGCATGCTGTCCATGATTTGTGCCGCAGACCGTGATCTGCGAGTGCTCTGCACAGACTTCATGGCGACCGTGAGAGGGTAGACCAAGGCCTGAGGATGCGCTCGACCAACGTCTGCGAGGAGATTATGCACAGACTGCTGTACACGCACATTGGGCTGATTGATACGTGCGATCAACTGAGGGAGAACCTCCAGCCAAGTATCCACACTGACATTTGCAAAGCCTTCAGTCACAGCTGAGTGGACATCTGCGTGACCGCCATGAGTAAACCAGAGGGTCAGCAGACGCAGGGTATCCTGAAGCGAACTGCCGGCGGAGAGCGCAATCGACTTGAAGAATCCCTGAATGGCAGGGACAACGTGCTGAATTATGTCGGCGGAATCCGCTCGGTTGGCATCGCCCTCTGTGCGAGCAGTAAGGGTCTGAACAATCTCAAAGTTTGCGAGAGCCCAAGCATGCCATGCTTTGTACCAGCGCGGGTTATACTTTGTGGCTTGAGAATAGGAAGTGAGAATCTCATCAATATTATCACGCTGCCAATTATCCTTGTTGAGCGCGATGAGCCATTCGCCCTGGCGGAGGTAACATTTTGCTAGCAGCACAGTCTGTTCCATGAGCGCCCGCTGTGTCTGTGGAGTAATGATCGACGAGTCGACATGATTCTGGAATGCATAATCGGCATTGGAAAGCTCAGTACCAGACTGAGACGAGAGATGCATTTTGGTCACGTCGAATCGATGAGCAGTTTCGTTAGTAAACCTCTGCAGGCAATACAGAGTACGCTCCGAGATGCGACGAAGCGAATGAGTACTAGGTTGTAGGCCAGTCTCCCATTGGAACTTGAGCATAGCATAGATAACCTGAGCTGGAACATTCTTAGGCAGGGACGAACCTTCCTTCCAGAAAGGAATCATATTTTCGAGAGGCGCTTCCACCCCAATAAGCTGCTTCAGCGACTTCTCTGCAAGACCCATACGGCCAGACTTGCGGCACAAATTGGCAAACTTGATCCACATGCGCATATTCTCCGCGGGAGTTATCACCAGAGCACGAAGTCTGAGTACGCGATGCCAAAGGTCAACATTGCGCTGGCAGCCCTCAAGACGCGTCTCCCAGGTCTTGCGCATCGTCACACGTTTCTTCTCGTCGCACTGCTTGTATGTAATGAGCTCCTCAAGCTCGGCAAGCATTTGGACACGGACCACAACAGGGTAAGCTCTGTTGTAGGATTCGCTAACGAGAGCACTTAGCTCTGTGTCCAAGCCTTCGCGAGCCTGTTGAATGTTGGATATCGCCTCTTTAAACTGGTTTCTGTGCAGCGCCAAGATGGCACCGAAGAAAGAGCGATCTGGAGAGTTTCGCTTCAGTGAAGACAGGTAGTTATCCATCGAGTCCCATTTACCGAGACCCCAAGCTGCTGCAGTTGCCAATGGCGCGATCATACGCTGCACCTCGGGAGCCGAGTTTTGCCACGTGTTACCGGTAAGCGTAGCGAGAGCATCCCACTCGCCTAGAGCATGCAGACATCTCATCTTACCCATCACAATGTCAATTGGGACAGCTTGTTCTGGGGGTACTTCTGCTTCACGCTTGTTGTAAAATGCCAAGGCCTCTTCCCAGCGTTCAAGCTTCTCAAACCAGGTCTCGCGTAGCTGGATGCCTTCCTTATAGAGCTGAGCTTTGCGCAAGATACCAATGGCAGCGTCGGACTGCTGGAGTTGGTTGTTGATCACAATCAAAGCCTCAACTGCTCCGCTGCTCTGATCTTGGAGGAACTCCAGTTCCTTGTAGTGGAGAGCCTTGGCATAAGCGTGGCATCGCGCAGCTTCCCGTCCCAGTACTCGAATGTCGATGGGCAAGGCTTTGTCATCGTGCTCCATGAATTCAGCAAGATTCAAAAGTAGACCAAGCAGATCCGGCGGAACATTCTCTGACTTGATAGCGCTCTCAATATTCTGGATGAGTTCCTCTTGAAATTGTTCAAACAACTCGCTCCAGCATGAAACGAAAGCAGAATTGAAAAGCTCTCGTGCAAGAGGCAGGTAGACGCTTGCCAAACTCGCACAAGCGCGGAGGGCATGATTCGGAGATTCAGTCAACAAAGTTGTGCTGAACCTCCGTACCCATTCTTGCCAATCTTCCTTTGTAGACTTGCCTTTGGTGTCCCAAGCCGCTTTCAGATGTATAGCGTTCATCTCTAGCTTTTTGGTGCCCAGGTCTGCAAAAGCAGGCTCGATGCCGCGGTCGAAGTAGCGCGTTTCGGTATTCAAATCTTGTGGAAGCGCCTCGCCCTTTTGAAGCTTGCTAACCAGAAGCTCGTAGTTGGCATGCTGAATTTGTCGCAGATTCACGACTTTGTTCACAGTACCCATGAAATTGATGAAATCCTTCCCCAGTTGCTGAATGAGGGCACACATCGTATCCAAGGCGGCCGTTCGCAGTACTGGCTCGCCAGTATCAAGCACTCGAGTGAGGGGGTGGAGGATTTTGGCAGCATAGTCGTTGAGATTGACCTGTTTGGAGATCTTGCCAATAGTTTCGATTGCCTGCCTTCTGAGAAATGAGGGCTGCGTGGGTTTTTCGAATGTTCGTACAATAACGGGGATAATTAGATGCATATACTCCTCAGCGCTAGCTCCGAATACAAGGAAGGCATGCAAGACCCTCTCAGAGGGAGCACGCTTTGCACTGGTATCTTTTTCAAGAACACCAAGCATCATCGGCAAAAGGCCTGCCAGAAATATTTTAAATTCACCTTCCAAGGAACGTGAGATGGCCTCGATGAGGGATAAGATGGTAGACTGCAATGAGGATGACTTGTCCCAATACTCTTGCAGAATCTCAATGATACCGGGAAGGTAATTTCTGATGTGCTGCCTCACAATGCTGACTAGCGTGGCCAGTTGATTGAAATACGACTCCAATCTTGTCGAGGGCGAGGAGCGGATGACCTGAAGGAAAGCAGGAATGATTCGATCCAGAAATGAAACGCACTCTAGGCCAAGAGTCCTGAAAATATTCATGATTGCTTCAATCACAGCGGCGTGATGCTGAGCAAGTGAGTGATCCTTTAGAATCTGCAGGAGGGCATTGATGACAACAGTGGGAAAGTACTCTTTGTTTGATGGAGTCAGCCCGCTCATCATCAGAGAAATATCGGTTATTGGGCCAGTCTCTGCGTGAGATTGAGTGTCGAGGGGTTTCTCTTCTGCCTGCTGGCATTTGTAAGGGTCGAGAGCACCGAGGATGCCCATGAGTTTGATAGTCTCCTGTCGGATAGGTCCGCGCTGATCCTCGGTACGAATGATACTTTGAAGATTATCCAGCAGCTGCGGGTACTCAATATAAGGTTGGATCACATAGCCCGAGTTGCTAGCTAGCTGGCCCAGCGCGTGAAGAGCAGCCTCTCGCTTGATATTTGAGCTTTGATCCTGAAGAGCCTCAATAATAAGGGGCATCAGTCGGTCTTTATACGGAAGCATGTCTTCACCACCCACGGTTGCGAGTTCACCGATCGCTTTGAGGATTGTAGCCGCAACAGATGGATTGGGGTCACTGGCCTTGGGCAGAAGCACTGAGATCATTGGCTCGACGTATGGCTTGATGAGCGACTGGGCGTTCTGTACGAGAAGGCGGAGTAGTTTGGCGCTCTCTTCCTTGCTGCGAGCGACGTCCGAAAATTCAAGCTCTGTAAGCATCTGAATAAGGGTCTTGCGGAGCGATGGAATCACGTATGCCGGATTATATCTTGCCAGTCGGCCGATAATAGCAACGGCGACCTCTCTAATCGTGAAAGCCTCGTCGTTCAGGGCGAAGAAGAGGATGCGAATATTTTCGGCCTTGGCAAGGTGGCGATCGAATCGTTCGTCCAGAGCCCCGAGCACAGTCAGACGAATAGTAGGCTCAGGATCAGAGATGCCGACGGTCAGAAGCTTTTCGATTACATCGCCAACAACCTGAAGAGCATGATAGCTTGTTTGGTTGACGATTGGGTCACGAACGTAGAGTTGGCAACAAGTGAGTGCGGCAGCTGCTCTGATTTCTGGGTCTTCATCCTCGACATACTTGATTGCGACATCACGCACAAACTCGTTCAAAATATGACCAGTGAAATCAAAGCTCCCCAAAGTATTGAGCGCTAGTTTGACTTCAGCCCGGCGATATTCGTAGGCCTGCGGATCCTTGCCATCTTTAGCAATCACAGGGACGGATGAGAGTGTGTTGGGCTGAGGCGCTCCAAGCGGCTTGAACGGCTCACCGCAAAGCACAACACTGAGCATATCCAACAGACGCTCTTGAATGATGGGCTTGACAGGAGGGATGTAGAAGGCCATATCAACCAAAGCTTGCGTAAGCTTCGGCGTAAGCTCGCAGGCAAAGATTGGATCCAGCAGCGCTTCCATATATTTGCTCAGAGTTTGTCCGACGGCCACGGCGAGACGACTGATACAGTCAAAGACAGGGTCGACGGATCCTCTTTTGCGTGACTGTGCGCTCAGTCCTTCTCTGACATATATGAGTACACCGTCAAGGTATGGGGCGATGGCGCTTTTGACTGAGTTGGCTATGTTTCCGATGGCAAGAAAAGCGTCGTTACGCTCCTTGTCTTTCTTCAGCATGCCCGAGAGATAGACCATAAATTTGTGCAGCCACGATTGGGCGAAATCAGCTGGCGAGTAACTAGCCAGGTCAGGAATGAGGAGCACAACCGTGTTTCTGATGATTGGCTCGCGATGGTCCTTGTGTCGGAACACTATGTCGCAGGCCTCTTGGTAATGTTCCTGCATAAACATCCCACCTTGTTCCAGGAGCTCCTTCAGCACCAGCAAAGACGCGTGTGTATACTCTACAGCATTGAATTTGAACCCTTGCCTGGCTTCGTTATAGATTTTGGCCATCCATATCTGTTTCATTTCCTGGTCTCGATCGCGGATAATGCGGAAACAAGCGCTGACTGTTTCGGCTGATGCTTCTCGAATCTGCTGCCTGGTATCTCGCAATCCCACCCAGATCAACTCAAAGATTGTTTGAATGTACTGATACATTAACGTCGGAGCGTTGACGGCAAGCTCCCGCAGAACCAGCACGGCGCTGTAGCGTCGTTCTTCGACTCGATCGTTTTGGAGCCACTCCAGCGCCGTATTTACTTCCGAGTCGACTAGTTCTGAAATGAGTGACCCTCCAGGGCGACAAAGTTTACCGAGAGCAACAGCGGCCGGCCGCATGGGGTTCATATCTTTGCCCCGTAGAACGGTTTTCAAGTTTTGGGTAAATCGAGTATATTTGAGGGCGACGTCGACGCCGTCAAAGTCGACAAGCGCATCCAATGCATAGATGCCCCCCAATCGTTCTGCCGAGTCGCCACCATGTGTGATGAGCTGTGTAATTTTATTGTTGACAGTATTGTAAAAGGATAGAAACTGCTCCGGGTTGAGGTCTGCGTCAATACGGTTAGTTGCGGTCGCTATGAAATTAAGGCAAGCTTGAAGCTAACCTCGATGGCATACACCGACGAGATCTTTCAACTGTGATGCTGCTCTTCGTCGTACATCGTCGCCGACTCTATCGTTGGGTGGTCAGCGACCTTGTCTCGTTAAGCGACGGTGTGGGAGCTCGCCTACCGGGATTTAAGTTGGCGACTAATGTAGTCAAGCCGCTCGAAGGCGGCAGGTTGCTGCTGCGTCATGGCAGCGAAGACTCGGGTCCTTGAGGCTTAACACATGTGTTGAGAATTCAAAGTCGCAACCTTGGTAGTGTGCAATCGCGCAAGCCAGCTGGGACGGGTAGTGTTGCGGTTGTCGAGAGAGGATGGTGAACGGTCGACACAACAGCAAGAATCAGAATAGACTGTGATTCCACCGCACCCACGTTGCACACGTACACAACGAAAACGTGTGGTGATTGAATGGGCGTGGCTGAGGATGGTGTCGATACCTTGGGCAAGCTTGCTTGGGTCACTGAATTGGGAAACCGGGGAACTGACCAGGACAGTGTGCAATCTGGATAGCACTGTACGTGCCACGTCAAAATTGATGAACTTAGTTATATAGGCTCGCACACTGTGCGACATCCGACCCCACCACTCCTGCGCCCGCTAGCGCAACCCAGTCCATAACTTAGGTGCCTCTGTACATGCCTGCCTACAAATAATTTTGTCATCTCAGCACGATTCCTACTGATCGCTTGCTATCAGAACAACAAATCAATCGCCATGGGTAATGATGGGGGCTCGATCCCCAAGCGTCGGGAGCTCGTAAAGAATGCGGCTCGAACACCGACAGTATCTGAGCTCAAAGCGATCATTCTCGAATCTCTCGGTCACGCTTGGTCGCATTGTGCGCTCAGCGATGCGCCGCTTGATATGGAGACGGCAGTATCAGACGCATCTGGCCGACTCTACAACTATGAGTCAGTTTTGAAGCACCTGACGGCGACAGACGAATCGACAGACGCAGCCCCGACCTTGACAATGATTCGCTCTCTTCGCGACATCGTGAGGCTCAAAGTTACGCACCGTGGCGAGAAGTATATATGCCCAGTATCGTTGAAGCAACTTGGCCCAGGCACTAGATCAGTTTATCTTGTGCCCTGCGGCCATGCTTTTGCTGAAGTTGTGGTTACCGAAATCAAGGAAGACCTCTGCCCCGAATGCAGCGAGCCGTTTGAACGAGAAAATGTCATCACGATCCTACCAACGACCGAGAAAGACATTGAACACTTGGTCCAGAGAATGGAAGACCTGAAATCTAGAGGTTTGTGTCATTCTCTCAAAAAGGACAGATCTGAAAAGATGAAGAAGAAGCGTAAAGGGGGCGATATCTCCCAAGATGACAGGGACAAACGCGACCCGGATAGCATTACACCTGGAAACAAGAAAGTCAAAAAGGACGACGCTAGGATAAGCGGTATCAACAATCCCCTGGCTGCCAGCCTCACGGCGCGTGTGTTGGCAGAGCAGGACGAGAAAATTAAGCAGCGACATCTAGCCGAGACTGGCTTGGCCAGACACTAGACGAAAAACACACGAGCGTGTACTGCAAGGAAATATGGGCGATGAAGATACCCAGACGAATACCGAAGTCGTTCAATGTTACATAACTTTGGCGTTAACATAAAGGTACGGCCGTATAGATGGTGGGTAGGTCCTTGGCTACAGAAACGGAATGAATTCTTTCCACACATCCCAATGACCCTTTGCGGTTCGTGGCTCTCGAAATATTGTCACTGTAACACCACTCTTTTCTCGAGCGCCAATGAGAACGTTTTTGATGCGCGAACTCTCAACAGCGCCATATGGAGACAGCAGATGGGCAGCCTCAGCACGCAAGTCGAGAACTCGAGCCAAGCTGCCAGCGCCCTGAACAGTGCCATTTCCCATCACGGTGTCCGACATCTCATTGAAGTCAAGCAGCTCATCTAGCTGCTGTTCCTCCTCTATTTGCTCGAGTGGAAGTGTGGGAGGTTGGTTAAGTGGGACATGCCACCCGCTTCTGCTGCAGTCTCTGCTTGAAGTCTTGGACTGCGGTGTGCTGTGAGGTTCCAGACCAAAGTCCTTGGCACGCTCATCGGCAGCCACCATGAATTCACCGATGTTCTCCTCTTCGAGCTCCATTGTTCGCAACGCAATTGCAATTGCTTCATTGGAGTGCCATAGATTTTCGCGGCGGTTCTTCAGCTCGTCCTTCATGAGCAGCTTCACGGCTGCGCGACGCAACAGTGGGTGTCGGCATTTCTGTGCCGTCCAGTAGATGGGTGCGATTAATTCCGTCTCAAAACTGAATGAATGAAGCGGAGGGCCGCTCTGCGCGCTCGCGATGATTGATGAGGCAAGCGACACGATGGTGCCAAACGCAGTGACGTGGGCATCGTAAGCCAATTCTTCTGGACTCAGCGCTGTAGAAACCCAGACGGTAGCCGTGTTGTAGTATATCAGCAAGAGATTCTGCGTGCACACATTTGTCTGCGTCATTTTCAAGCTGCTAGTTAGTACAATAAAGATTGCATGCCAATGACCCAACCGAGATAACAGGTCTTGCTGCGCAGATCTGAGAGTATGCAAGACGTCGGCATCCAACTCCCCCGTGTAGATTTTTGGTCGGGCGTTTATGCTGAAACGCAGTCCTTCATCCAACAGATGGTATAGCACAGACCTGGCCTCTGCTATATTCTCTAATTTCGCGGGTGGCGCGATTGAAGGACGGAAATGCTCTGGCACGCCCGGGGGGTTGCCACCGTATAGAAACGCAGCTAGGCCGAGTCGTGTGTACATGGGAACCAAATCTCGCTTGACCGTCTCAACCGCTGGCGAGGAATCATTGCCGAGAGAGCTCAGTAGTTTCCGACCTTGCATAATGTGCATCCTCGCCGCCTCTTCGTTGTCCAGCAGAAACTCCAGGCAGGTATAGAGAACGCAAGCTAGTAGCGGAATGGTTGGCCCGTCGCCCGGTTTCCATTTCCTCAATGCCGAGATGGACTTTCCATATTGCGAGTAGACAAAGAACGGCCCCACGGTGCCTTGCTGCTCTTTGTTGTTGCTGAGGTACTCATGCAGGCTGCTCATTGCCAGGACAGCATGCCGCACAATCGGCTCCGTCACACTCAGTCGCAATACCAAGCCTCCCCAGAATTCCGAGTCCATAACGCTGCTAAGAACCGGTGCTGACTGGCTACGATAGTAGTCAAAGGCACGGCAGTCTTCCGGGGACTCGAATTCCATGAGCGGGCTGACACGGAGCAGGCTCGTGGCATTGCGCTGTTGCACGCGGCCAACGTAGCCTTCACAATTGCGGCCCGTTCTAACGCACCGGAGGCAACACGGTTTAGCCTCGTCGCATTTGACTTTGCGAATTCTAGAGTGCGACTAGTTAGCGAAAAGGTCACCGGCAGGTATGCGGGGGTGAACTTGCTTGCAGGTAATGCAACCGGTGCGAACCTTTTTGTTGCCTTTGCGACCCGAATGGTTCGAAATGGCAGAGCCGGAGTCTGATTTCATTCTATCAGAAGAACTTGAAGTTTTCAAATTGTGAGGAGAGGGAAGCGATTGAGCTTCAGGTTGGGAGATTGCCGAATAAAATGCTGACGGCTGAAGCCTAGTTAACCATTTAGTCAGGCCGCATCAGTAATGGATGGCACTGACCTGCGCTGAGTTGCGCAACGCGCAATCACCAGCTCAGCCACAGTGCCATTGACAAAGTCACAATGGGGAATGACCGCTGTGATGCTGTTGAAGGATAAGCAAACTAGTTTGGACTCAAGGTAAAATTGCATAAATCAATGTCAGTATGTGAATCATTTAGATTCGTTCGTCAAGCGAGCCACCAGGCCCGTTGCTTACCAGTGTCTCACAAGTTCATAGCCGTACTGTGCGCCGCCGAAAAACTCAGGCCGCGATTCGTTTGAATATCGCAACTCACAATTCAATGGCTCTCGCCACGAAAGGTTTTGCGCATTCATTACCCGCCTCAGGCGGCACTACCGTTCGCAATAGTCTTTCGCCATGGGTACACCTTGCAGCTGGCGCGTAAGCTCAAAAGAGTGCAATGCAACGACGCGACACGCTGACAATTTTCACCAGAAGCGGCGGACTTGTGAATTCCATCGCAACATCTCCTCTTGATGTTTTGAGGACTCACATGCAGTCCGATACATATGAAACAGCTACCCGAGACAAAATCTCGAATATTCAACGGCTACGCCATGTCCACCCTATCCGCGAGACAATCGACGCCCTTGGCACAATACATAGAACCGAGGGCATTCGCGGCTTGTGTCGCGGTCTCGTCCCTAGTTTGATTGGTGTAGTCCCAGCCCAGGCAATCAAATTTTATGTGTATGGGAACTGTAAGAGGCTGGGTGCTCAGTATCTAGGCCTCGAGGAAGCCGAGCCACTGGTGCATGCGCAGGCTGCTGTTGCTGCTGGCCTCGCAACAGCCACTGCTACGAATCCAATCTGGCTGGTTAAGACAAGACTGCAGCTTTTTAATGATCAAGCTTGTGACGGTGCTTCCTCAAAACGTTCTAGAAGCACTCTTGATTGCGTACTACAGATCTTCAAGACTGAAGGAGTGTCAGGCTTCTACCGAGGACTCAGTGCAAGTTACCTAGGTACTTTGGAGACAGTCGTACATCTTGTCCTGTACGAGCGACTCAAAACGCTGTTTCAAGCCCAAAGCTATTATTCTCCACCATCGTCAGCCCATCGTAGTGAGCTCAGGAACTGGGCAAGCACCGCTGGGGCAGCTGGCTGCGCCAAGGTGGCAGCAGTTCTCATCACATACCCTCACGAGGTACAGTGGGTTGCCAAAAGTTCCGTACACTCCACCATAGAGCCCATATACTCAATTTTTACGTAAAAGTTTAAATACCCATAATATATATAAATTAACATATTATTATAAATAAAATTAGGAGTATACTCTAACATAGTTAATAAGTAAGCAGCGTAGACAAGTAAGTAGTACACCTA